CTTTATTCTCAAAACTAAAATATGTGGAATAAACTTGCTTTGGACAATTAAACAGTACAATCACTTTAGATAAAAGTTGCATAGTTAAAAGCTTAGAAATTGCCTGTTATCCAGAAAAGACACTTCTGCAATACTTTATGAAGATTTGAGTCTGGTCACCGGTGAATCTCCCTCTTTTCAAATGGGTGTGATTGACGGGCCAATCAGGAACACAATCTGTATCCAAAAAAGTTAAGGAAAAAAATATCACAGGGGACTGAAAAACATTGTGAATTTCTGTAGAATCAATGAGCAAAGCACTAAACTCTGTAAATGTGAGGTGAGATAAATTAGACTTTCTTTGTAGATCATAGGTGACCAATGAGCTCCGTCATTTCACTGAAAAAAAAAAAATCAGATTGCATGATCACGTTTGACTGGGCTTGAGGCACAACTGAGGCCGTGGAGACCAGACTGATCTGTATAAAAAATACAGAGAGATCTCATTCTGGATTTGCGGGGCTATGATGTGAGGTTATGGAAAATTTTCAGTTTAAATTCTAAACTATCCTGGAGTATGACTCATTCACAATATCTGTCATTTTGGAAGTCTTCATATAACACCTGAGATAAAACTCAACTATGTGTGTGACTTGTTAAAATAATGTTGTGGCATTTGTGGATATTTCACACTGAAAAGACTGATCTCCAGAATTACAACGAAAAAACATTCACAACAATACACATCTATTATTCATATGAACGACGCAGAACAACAGCTTTATTAAATCTGTTTGTTGTTGCTTCAGATTCCACACTGTTTCCTGACCTTAAACGTCACATCACGGCTGTTGGAACCAAATTTTTTGACCTTTGCATTCATATTTATTGCATGGTAAGATGGAATTTCCCTGGTATTTAAGATGCTTTTGGACACATGGGGCTGAAGCCTCTACATGTTTTCCATTATAGGTTACACTTCAGTACAAATGTCAAAAAATGCCTGCCACTGTGTCTCCCTGACTCAAGTCTGAAGAGATTCACAAATTACTCGTCAGCCGTTTTCCAACTTCAATAATTTATAATCATTCTTTAATATTTAATGGCTGCAAACTTGATTGGACATAGATGTATCACTGTGGGCTTGTGTACAAGCTTGGTTTAGCTCACAGCTCCATATAAGATAGAGAGTAATTAGTAAATGCCCTTTAGGGGAATGTAATAATGTCTATTTAGTCCAGATGTGTCTGTAGCGTGGCTTGGGGGCTGGTCAAGACATAAGATGTTTTTTGTTAGTTTTTTTCCCCGGTGATGTCTTATATACTGTTAAAGATGCACTATGTAACTTGTCCGACGGAGGGCTTGCCAGCGGCTCTTGTTGGCAATGTTTTGTTTTTGTTTTTTTTTGTTTTTTTGTGCAGTGTGTCATTAAACTTGCATTTGTTCAATTACAAATATTTCTGATGCTTAGAAATAGCAGGGGTGTCCTGTAGAGAAATAGCAGTGGTGACCTGTACTTTAGCCTGGTGGCAACATGTTTCCAAAATGGATATTGTAAAATGTATTTACTGAAAAGTAGTATAGTGTATTTTTGGCATTGTACAGTTAAATGTTTGACTTTGCAAAACACTTTTCTTTTTTTTGTTGTTGTTGCATGTGGTGCATTTCAAACAATAGTACATTGTCATCTTAAAAAAGTGATGAATGTGTGAGGCATTTAAATACTGCATTATAAATATACTGATTTTTTTGTCAAATTTGCACACACCTGTCTCCCTTCCTTCACACTGAGAAATCTCTGGTGTTCTACATTTTTTGCCTCTGTAATTTTGGAGCATGTTTACCCTTAACTCCATCCCAGTCACCCCCATAGCCTTTCTTGTTAACCAACTGTGACAAGTATGTTCTAGGACACCATTTTAAATAAAGACATGTTCTTGCGCCTCGTCTTTACTAGGTCAAAATGTGTGAAAAGATGACATGCATATTATCTCCTTGTGCTAACATCAATCATTTGGTGTTGCGGTCATAGAGGGCATATCCACTGGCTATTTCCTCTCTATGTGTAGTGCAACAGTTTGGCAAGATGCACTGTGCAACGTTAAGTAGGCCAAGATTTTAAACACTAAATTGTGTGGAGATATAGCAGAGTAAGAAGGTTTTAATGTTTAGGCTTAAAATCAGAGCATTCTTGGTGGAGATGCAAGACTTGCAAAATCCAAGCACATCTGGTAAAGAAGATCATAAAGCTTCTCCAATAGCTCGTTAAACTGTTAAGGTTTAGCCATGATTTTGCCCCAAAGCCGTCTCTGTGCGTATTGCAAAAATAGCTGTCCACGTAACAGTTTTAAGTCCATTAAAAAGTGTGTCCTTGATATGTCCTTCCTTCATAGCCACTTTCACAACAGAAATTGTTATCTGCTTTGTGATGGTTGGTGATAAAATAAAATAAAATAGTGAATACGCCTGATCAGATCATCTGGTGGCACAAGGCAGTGTGGTGCCAACGTGCCCGTAATATTGAGGAGATTCTGTGTCTGTGAAATGGGAGTTGGACATGTGTGTAGAAGGGTTTGACTAGATCAATGGAAATACAAATGCTCTCTGCGTAAAAGCATTAGCGCGCTATTCGTGATAAGACTCCAAAACATGGCACAAGACAGATTAGGATGAAGATGCTTTGGAGCCAATAGAGATAATCCCGTTATCTGGTTGGATGTAAAATGCCAATGTTGTAGCATCCTCAGAGACACAGATGAACTGAACGTGAACTAATGCCGCAGATATACGTAACAGAAAAAAGACGAGCTGCGAGAAACAAGAAAGGAGGAGAGCGAGTTCGGAAATCCTAAAGTAAACACTGTTGTTCTTGACCTTAAGGGACACCCACGCCGTTTACCGCAATGTCACCAGCGGTGCTGTAACTCCAAGTCTGAACCCACACACGCGCCACGCTCTAGTTTGTTTAATATCCTTCGCGTGACCTTTGAGTGTTCCCGCGTGGACCATAGCTATGCCCCGCGCAGATTTCTGGTTAAATGTAAAGTGCTCTGTGGTTTGAGAGAAGGTAGAGTGGTGCCGGTGGAGACGCACGCTGGATCAGAGCGCATATGACATTACGCACAAGAGTGCGCGAGTGTATACACCAACACAATTCCAGAATCGCCAAATAAAAGCAGGAGTGGAAGCGCACTTACCGGGTGACCCTGGGCTCCACTACGCGACCCATGGTGTGAAAAGTGAATCCTCAGATGCCGTGGTCACAGTCCACGTCTCTGCAAATGTACCACAGGATCACATAGAGGATGAGGAGGATGGCGAATATGAAGAGCGCAACGAGGATGGCCTTGGTCACCGGAGAGATGAGCGACTGCATGTCAGGAGCAGAGCCGGGCAGAGCGGCTTGGGGCTCCGCGTCCGTCCGTCCTCAGTCCGCTGTCTCTCTCCCCCTGCTCCGTTCTTCACCTTCACTCCGCTGGCAACTGTTGAGGACGGAGCCCAGGGCTTTACCGCGCGCAGACACACACATTTAGAGCTTGACACACGCACACGGACTCCCCTGCTACACGGACAATCCTGCTGCTGGCGCGCGGAGTGAGTGGGGCTTCCCTTGTTTTAGAGGCAGCTCGGTGTGTCCCCACATCCATTTGGTTCAAATTCCCGTCGCATATTGGTACACACATAGACAGCGGTGGCAAAAGCTATCCGCTTTTAGACAAGGTCCCGCGATGAGCTGCCGAGGACATTCAGCAGGTGATTTGAGGAGGGACGTTTCTAGACACGCGCATAATCAAGGAGCGAACGGACAAGTCCGAAGTTGCGCGCTGCGCTGCTGCGTTTGCTGCAAACAGGTTGATTAGTATTCTTGACGGCAAAGCTGTGTGTGTGGCGCGGGTGTCTATGCTCTTATCACGACCACAGCATTGCCATAGGTAATGGACCAACATATTTGGATAAACTCAGCTGATGCATCTCTAACTATAACTATAAATCAGTTCTTTGCACAGAGCTGAAAAGAGAAAGAGATGAAAAGCGTAATTAACTTATGCCAGTATCCTGTTCAAATATATGAACAGTGAAAGCTTTCATATATATATATATATAAATATAATGAATATTCAATTATGAAATTAAAAACAAAACAGTTATGAAATTAAAAACAAAATTAAAAACAAAAACGCTAAACTAAAAAAAGAAAAAGAAAGAAAGAAAGAAAATAATGTGCAAACACCTACTACTCAATTTTTTGCCTTGATTGTCTACTTGTGAAAATACTAAAAGTAGGTCGCCAGCCAGTGTCAAATTTCAGAGAAATGACAAAAGCCTAATATTTTATGCTATACCCAGAAAGTCCACGAGGTGGGGACAAACGCGCGCTTTTGGTGAAGGTGCGTTGATTATTCCGCACATCACCATTGCACTGTAGTCTTGCATAACAATCATGAAAACTAAAAAAGACTGAGCAGCACTGAAGGTAAGAGTCGCTGTTTCATCATAGCGCATTTTAACCTGATTATTTTGTTGTTGTTGATGGTTGCAAGGCAGTACATTTAGCGAAGGTTGAGGTTAACTGCACTAGCATTTTGGCCTGCACACTGAAGCTAGCATTAGCAAAAACGATCTCTGGCAAGTTTGTTCAAATGTTAGTCAGAAGTTGTATCCTCTGTAAATAATGGTTTTATTTAACGCGCGGTGTGCTTTAGTGCAACTTAATAAGAAAGAATAAAATCACGTTATTTGATAGTAGCAGCTAAATTAGCTCATCACAAGCCAGCGACTGTCAAGTTTCATGCAAAACATTGATACCTCCGGTGCGACCTTCACAATAAATATTTGGTGAAAGTGAGCGTTTCATATTTCGGTTTATATATAACCATAATATTTCATCTAGTAAATGCACTTGCATTGTTACAGTCTTAGGTGAGCTAAAATGAGTCTGTTACAGAAGTTACAATGCATTTCTATTCTATGGTGCTTCAAAGTTGAAGGCGCTTAAAGGCCTTTTCCTGTGTTTATTCGGCCATTGATGTAGATGTAGTTGCTTTGACAGACGGGAACTAGCTGTCTATAGCACAAGATTTAACTCATTTAACCTGTGTGACACAGAAAGCGTTGTTTACAAATGAGGCCAATGGTGGGCGTTTGCACAGACAGACACTGACCTGTCTAATTAGCTCCGAGGTAAGACTAGTTTGGTTAGATATAATATTAAGCCTGATAAGATTTGTCTCGCAAGTGCGATGTTAGCTCCGATTTCGCTGTTAAAAGCGTTTGTAAGTTAACCAAATATTTAACAGGATCGATGCTATTTCTGTCACATAATGTCAGTGTTGTAACGTTGTTCTTAGCGTTATTTAAGCACTAAGTGTCCTCTTCAGTGTTAGTGCATCATGTCGTTTTTGAGCGATGGCAATGTTTGAAGACGTAGCTTGGCGTTATATTACGTGGAAACATTGTTTATTTTATAAACCACATATAACTTCATATTGTCCAATGCCATCAATATGTCAGCGATGCCTGTTATCAAAGTTGCCTAAAGTTGTAATCAGCATAGTCACTTCATGGCTTTCAGGACTGGTCTGCTTCTCTTACATTGAAGTAGATCATTTCACTGATATACAAGTTTTTGTGGTAAACTGTGCTCCTCTATTTACAGACAAGCAGTTACTCCATACAATGAACACGGAAGATAAGTTGGAAGGCATGCTGTTGAAGTGCAGCAGTGGAGGGCTGGATGGAGGAGGGAGAGTGGGACTGGGCAGTGGAGCAGGGTTGGTGGTCATGACACTTGGGGAGAGATCTCTGGTGAACCATCCAATACTGGCAGAGGATGATGATGATGAAGATGATGATGATGATTTGACGGGGAGTTCGCTGGTCACTCACGACCTGGTCCCACCAGAGCAACTCATGATGCAGGAGGACATATCAAAGAGTGGCGGTGATGAGGACACAGAAAGTGACGTTGCCACACAGTTCCCATTAAAACTTACGAATAAGCTCCCATGTTTGCTTCATATGCCGGTAGGTCAGTGAATAGTGTGGCGTTTATTAAGTTTTTTTCTAAATGTCTTTTCTTCCTGTGTTCTTGTCTTAACAGCTAACCATAAAACAGGAACTGAAGCTGACAGAGCCTTCACCCTTGATAAAAAAGGACAAGAAAGCAGTAAAAGACTTAATGTTGTGTCCTAAAAAGAAGAAAAGGAAGCAGCGCTCACCAGCCAAAGTATACTTTGACTGTTGCATTCATATTTAACAAACGATAAAAGTTTCATGAAAGAGAATGACCTGTCATATTTTTGTGCAGATTCTCACAGTCAATGAGGATGGCTCGATGGGTATGCAGAGCCCCAAGTGCCACGTGTGTATTCATTGTAACGCTGCATTTCGAACCAACTATCATCTGCAGCGGCATGTGTTCATTCACACAGGTATGTGTTAAATACTGTGTTTTCTAACATGTAACATAAACTTAGCTTTTGCACTCTAGATTAAATTCTAAAGAGTCTACCTTTTATTTACAGGAGAGAAGCCCTTCCAGTGCACCCAGTGCGACATGCGCTTCATTCAAAAGTATCTTCTGCAGAGACATGAAAAGATTCACACAGGTGAGTACAAGAGTCCAATAAGAAACCTTAACCAATCTGTTCCCATATTTTTTATCCATAATTAAATATGTGTTTAGGTTTTAAATGAAAGTTATTTTTTAAAAAGTAATTGAAAAGCCCTGAAGCACCAGTAGAAAGACTGGTTATAAATCCATTGAGTATATTCTCCTTTACAAATAGAATAAACACATAAATAAAACATTGCACAGACATCGAACATTCATTCACTGTCAGAGTAAAATATAGTGTGTGCCAAAAATCACCCTCTGGCTTTATGTTTGTAGACTTTAATAAGGTTTAGTTTTAGACTCAGGGGAGGTTTGAAATAACACCTTTTGTCATGTGGTTCTTTACATGTGAACATCACCAGAATTCTTTAAATCCTATAAGTATACTATAATATCTATGTAAACCTTACTGTATAAAAGAGCTTTAAAAGTGAGTAAAGTTTTATCAAAAGCATTAGGTCACACTGTTCTGTTTTTGCTGCACTTGTTTAGGCGAGAAGCCATTTCGATGTGATGAATGTGGCATGAGATTCATTCAGAAGTATCACATGGAACGACACAAAAGGACACACAGTGGAGAGAAGCCCTATCAGTGTGATTACTGTCACCAGGTAAATGCATCAAATCAAACTCACTTTAAATGCATAATTACTATTTGGTCTCATGTTTAGTATATTAGCTACTCTTACAGTTGATGTACATTCTACAATAATCAACCCACAATACTTTCTTCACAGTACTTTTCTAGGACAGACAGGGTTTTGAAGCACAGACGAATGTGTCATGAGAATAAAGAGAAAAAGAGCAACAAGGTGTCCGGGAAAGTTGGACCTCCACGTGAACCAGATTCATTAAACGTCTCGTTTCTTGCCAAAGAGTGTTCGCTGCCTAAAAAGAAGCGCCAAAAGTGTACAGACAAAACACTGACTGAGACTATCACCACCACTCAGACAGAAGGGCACCCGGTCACTGTCACAGAAACAGAGGAGAAAGAGGAGCAGAGAGAAAATAAAATGGAAGGTCTACCTCTTTACACAGTGTCCTCCAAAGTTAAACATGAATATGTGATGGCAGAGTACTCCGTGGACCTCCCAGAGGAGTCCACAGACCAAAATCAGGACGAAGATGAGCTGTCAGAAGAAACTACTCCTCCCAAACTAGTCCTGAAGAAAATCTCCAAAAGAACCATCAAACAGTCCAGTGAGCAAGCCACTCCCTCTCTGTCCACTTTGTCTTCCTTTGAAGAGAATGGCAAAGTCACACAATATACATTTGAAATTGTGGATAAACAAGGCCTTTTGGATGTAGATGGAAATACTGAGCTTGAATCAGTAGAAACTCTTCAGGGAGGGCCGACAAAGCCTGCCCCCAGCAGCACAAACTATGATGACGCCATGCAGTTTCTAAAGAAGAAGAGGTACCTTCAGGCTGCTGTGACCAACAGCAGTCGAGATTATAATCTGAGCTCCAACAGCATGTCGTCTCAGACACCTGTCAATCAAACAGTCGTGTCTACTGTGATCGACGAGACTGTCCCTGCCACAATATTAGAACCTCAACCCATCAACACTGACATCAAGACTCATGAGAAGAGCGTGCTCCCAGATGAAGTTCTCCAGACACTGCTGGACCATTACTCCAATAAGGCCAATGGCCAGGCGGACATCTCCTTCAGTGTAACAGACACAGAGGTCACTTCCAGTATTTCCATAAATTCATCGGACGTTTCAGACAGCAGTCCTGTGGAGAGCCTTGCAGCCTCGTCTGCTCATGCACAGCCTCCCACAGAGAAGGTCAGTCTTTTGCAGGAATACTCCAAGTTCCTCCAACAAGCTCTGGAGAGGACCAGCCAGAACGACAGCTACCTGACCAGCCAAAGCCTCAGCCTGGTGTCGGAGAGTCCCCCTTTAGCAGGACAGCCACTGTTTGCTACTGACAAACAGTTTCCATCTCCCAGCAGGTTCAAATCAGGGATGAGTTCTCCGTTAAGGTCCACTTTAGACAAACCTCACTTCGGATTACTGGTGGGAGACTCGCAGCACTCATTTTCATTTTCAGGAGATGAAACCACGCCCCCCTCAGCTGTGTCCCCCGCTGACGATGACTTTCTGGATCAGGTTTCCCCCAAAAAGTCAGACTCGACACCAGGAATTCTTCAGACGTTTCAGATTAGCTCCTTTGACCAGAACTTCAAGTCCCACTTCCAGACGTCCAGATCTGGATCCACCTCACAGTTTACTGTTGCTAATGGACAGGTGAGTCTGCGAGGACACGGCACAGACTTCTCAGAGTTCACTTTAGTTCGAGAGACCAGATCACAACTCAACTCCTCCCCTGATGTTTCTTCCAGTGAAACTTTCTGAAGGAAGAGGCTACAAATTCATTCTCAGCAGCACTTTATCTTATGTTTTCTGTTTTTGCCAAATCATGTCCCTGTGCAACTTCATGTCTTTCTCAAAGAAAGACATTTTGTGTTTTAAGATGAATATTAAGTTTAGCAACCCCACTTTAGGAAAAAAAAAATGTACACAAGAATGTTTGACTTATGCAATTTATGCGTGAAATAATTAAGCTACCAAAGCATAGATATTGAGACAAATTATTCCCTTATTGCTCAACAGTGATTTGCCTATTTTTATTTTTCAATTGCAATAACAATAATGATTACTTTAATTCAGTTAACAATGCCTTCTTGCTGCCTGATGGCTACCTCCCTGTCCAAACCTTTACAGTAACATAAATCCAATAGTATTCAGACTACTAGTACTTGTATATTCACAAGTGAATGAGTTTAATGTAAGTAACATTGCTATAGTCATCCAACAGTGTTGACTGTTCGACTTGTGTGTATGGTATTGACACTTGATGTTAATATTGTTGTAAGATACATTTGCCTTTAGAAATTACAATCTCCTCTTTGTTAGTCACTTTATTGTCACCTTAAATTGGTGTTACATGTTATTTATTTTTGCCCCTTTTAAATAGTGGTGAGTGCTTACCTTAAAATCTCAATTGGTATCAAAGAGCTGCAAACATGAAATGATTGCAGGATAAATGTGATATTCAATCGAGCTGTAGTGAAATTACTTCAAAAGGATTGTGCATAAATTCTGCACAATTTGCACATTTTTACTGCAGAGAATGTCAGTAACATAGTGAATTATTAAATCTGTAAGAAAAAAGTCCTTTGCTCTGAATGTAAATTGGAGTTATTTGAAACTCAAGGTGACACTTTGTTTTAATTACTTTGATAGATGAGTTTTTTAGACTGGAAGAAGCACGTTAGAACATTAAACTATTACGTTTTGTTATCTCCCAGTTTGATTAAAACCTGCATCTGTGCCTTTCTTTTCTTTTATTCTCGCCTTTCCTGTGTTATTCTGTTTGTACTCTTTATAACTAGGTCAGTGACTTAAGGCAAATAATTCCAGTTGCACAACAAATAAGCTATCTTTCTTGCAGCCTGTAATCTTACATTGAGGTTTATTTTAACCAGCACGTCTCTCTTATTTTATTCAGTTGCAATAAGTGGCACACAACTAATATTTTTACCTGGATATTTGTAGGAAATAATGTTTCTGATATGTTGTACAGCTGTACATATTGTGTTACCATCACCTGCTTCCTAGTGATTACCTTTGTTAGGCCTTGTGCATATGATGACATTAAAATGGTATAGTCCTCATAAACATGCATATGTCAGTGAATCTGAATATTATGGAATAAGCCATTCAAATTAAAGTAACACATGTGACATTGGTTTCATATTAAACTAGTTCTATTAAGTGTTGTGATCAGAGAATGAGAACCAAAACGGTCTCTGTTAGACATATGATGTCTAAAGTGTCCTTGCTGATGCTCCCTCCCTCCTGGACAGGACAGCACACAGAGCTGTGTTTGGGATTAAATCATCTAGTGGATTAAATCATGTTAATATGCTTATTTAGAGATATATGAATGCTTAAAACACAGTACATCTAAGTTGAACCTCAAAGACTCATGAGCCCTTTTCGCAGTTTTCAGATTTTCTGACATGTGCCAGCGCTTCATGATACTTTACATTGTTGGACTGTTTTCTGTCTATGTTTTAGGTGCTACTGTGTAAACACTGTTTTGTACACAAGATCCAATTGGGTTAGAATAATATTCCCTAATGTTACAAATCTACTGACAATCAGGGAAACATGGCACCCCACATAATCACCAGATATACTTTATTTTCTCTCATTGAACATTCCCTATAGAATGTATAGAAATGTTTTGGTGTAAATACATTGTATAATTTTATGTTCAGAGAAGTACTGTTAGATAGAGGACTGACACGAGAGACTCCTTTTGTTAGTGAATGGCACATGATTTTGTGAAATAATCATTTTATATTATGAACGGTGTACAAATGGATTACAATACCTTGTTTTTTGTTTGTGTATATACACACCCACCATCAAATTTTAATTTTTGTTATATTTTATAGCATTGTTTTACTGTATAGAAAATGCTCCGCAAAATACTTTTTAAATTGTACTTCAACCTATGTGTAAGTTGTAGGTTTGGTTAATTTGGTTAAAGTGATAAATATTGTGATACTCCACCCCATCACTCACATCAAGAATGATTTGAAAGCACAGTAACACATTTCATTTTTGTTTTAGTATAAATAATATAAATAAATAAAATATATGGCTTAATTGCCAAATTAGAGGATTCTTACTAAAGCATTCTGTTTTTCATCAATTGTTAGACGACTGGCCATAAGTGTCCTTGTATAAGCTATAGTATATTTCTTTTGTTTAAAAAGAGCTGAAATTAGAAATTTTGATAAAAAAAAACTATTTTTGAAACGTCATTTAAGGCACTGATATGTACAGTATATTGTATGCAGTCAATATTGCTATCCTCATTTATCTGTTCACGTCTTTTGTGTCAATGTTTTTCAAATACCGTCTGACTTTTGCATCATGTTTTTAAAGAATTTACCATTGAAGTCCTGGTGCATCACAGTGGGGCGTGGTTTTAGTTAAATGCGGTAAGGTTTATATGCATGGATTAATGTTGGGTCGAGTGAATTTGTATGAATTACAGTATGTGCAGCTTTAATTGTAGCTAATTGATTTTCAGTAAAGTAACCCATGATTAGATTTTTGGCAATATATTATGGTTTGTAAACAGTCTGATTTTTGATTGTTGTGTGTCATGTCCTTATAAATAAACTTTAAAAATGATTATCTTTGAGTTGTTGTTTTTTTTTTTTTTTTCTTGCATAGATCGAAATCAAATGGTCCTAAATCTGCAATTAAATGATCCTGCTGATAGGATGTCTACTTGCCAAAGGCCCATAGTTGCCAAAAGTTATTTACATGGACTACTCTTATCACTTAATTAAGTATAGGCCTACTGAATTGTGCCTCAAAATATTGTTAAATAGCTTTGCTTACATCACCAAATTGTCAAATTATAGCCCCACTATCTTTGTTACCTAGTACCTTTAAATAAAATAATAGTATAGTCTTGATCTTTGACAGCCCAAAACTTCTATCTACAATCTATCATCTTTTTGTTCTCGTTTGTTATTGTTGAACTGAACTGAAGTACTGAATACAGTCCTTGTACTAGCCTAAGAGGTATTTCTCTGTACTATGATCAGATTTGAGCTGTGAGGGTTGAATAAATAACTTCTATGTCTCATTATAGATACAAATTAACTACTAATGTGATTAATTCTGCTATTTATTTGATTCAGTATGTGTTCATGCAAGTAGTATTTTTGTGTCAGTGGCATAAATTAGTTTCAGTATTATCATTAATCATCTGTATTTTCTTTAATGATATATACATACATCAAAATATGTTATTGTGAGAGGCCTATTCATTTATTCAGTTCTGTTCAATTCACTTGCCGAATTACTTTATTTTTTACTTTTTGTTCCATAGTACTACTTCATTCTGTTTTTACTTATACATTATATTATCTTAAAGGCTAATTTAGAATATATGTACAAACTGAGTTTGTATCTTAAAGGGGCAAAAACAAACTAATAAATCTAATCAGCCCACCAGTGTATCTGCTGTACAAGTGTCAACAACCATACCCACAAGAGGGCACTGTTGTATATGGTTCAAAATCATTTTTGATTGTTGTGTCATATGCTTATAAATAAATTTAGAAAATGACGATCTTTGTTTTGTTTGTTTTTGTTTTTTTCTTACATGGATAGAATTTAAACGATCCTAAGTGGTAGGAACGTCTACCTGCTAAAGGCCTTTCAACTATTTTAAACCTATAGGCTACACTTAATCACTTAATTGCAGGAATTTAACCTCAAAATATTAACATTATCAAACTATGTCAAATAATAGCCCCACAATTTTAAATCTAAAAGTTATAGTTTTAATGTTAATGCCTTACCTTCGACAACTAACACAGCTAGTATAACAGGCATCTGCATATAACCTACAAAACAATAGTGAAAGCTCAGATATTGATGACTTTCTATTACGCTAAAAACAGATAAAAGATACCTGCAAATTCAAGATAAATTTAGAGTGCATGATTCAGTTTTAAGAGTTAAGAGACGCCCTGCCAAAACCAACACTATCCTTGTGAAAAGCTGCTACACCCTGGACGTTTACCAGAGACAACAGGCTTATCTGACTGCTACCTGCTGCTCTGTACACCGCTCACGATCCCTCCAGGCGAACCTCAGCAAAACAAGCAAAGATGCAGGATTTATTAAGGCCGCAAGCAACGATAAAATGATTCTGCTATTTATGTGATTGCATTTTTACTTTTTTTAACCACAGGGAAAGACTTAGAGGGAGACAGAACACAGGTGGGTTGAACAGGTAACATGACAAGAACGTGTCTTTCTTGTAAAATGTAAAACACGAAAATTAATGCAAACTGTCAGTCATTAAAATATCGACTCAAGTAAAAGTATAAGAATTAAAATTAAGATGAGTTGACTGTAAATAGCCAATTTTGGTGCATTAGCATGGTGCTATCGAAAAATATGGTAACCGGAATTATTCGCTAGTTTGTTTGTTTTTTTACTTTGTTTTTGTAGATTACGGAATGTGTGTTATGATCATACTTCTAAAAATATTTTAAAGAAATTATTGATGTGTTTTGACTCAGCCTGTAAGGGCATATATCATATATGTTTTATTTATTTAAGTTAATTTCAACACATTACTTTCGTGTGTTTGTGCACATGAAACAATTATCAGTCTTTAGTGTAAATACGCTGTATCCGGGTCTCCACGTCAAGCACCTGCTCGGTGACCTGCTCAGTGTAATTATTATTGTTAGCTTTGTTGTTTGACGTGCTGCCTTAAAACAAAATGGGACAGCTATGTAAATAATAAACTGCAAGCCTATTCACACTATATTAATTTACTGATAACCTGATGTATGTGCTTCCTGCTCTTCTCTCTTTAGTTTACAATGGAAGGCTTACCTGTTGGCGGGACAGTGCACACCTATGACCATGGAGGAGGGGGGAGTGTTGTGGGGCTGCTAAAAGATGGAAAATCTCCTAAGTTGCATGTTTATGAGTTGTTCCATGAAGATGCACAGGTAGGTCTATTGCTAATTTTCAACTATTAAGGGTTGCAATTAACCATTATTTTGCTATATTGCTAATTCACTAATTAGCTGTAATTGATTCTATTGAAAAAGGCCAGAGGATATGATTTTGTTCAGTTTGACCCAGATTAATGAGTGTCACATGGGGAGCTTGATAGTATACAGACAAGATAGGTGTTTTGTTGATTACTAAATGAGTTGATGAGTATTTTAGCTATAAATTAGCTGCTCTAACATCACATATTGTCAGATTTTCATTATATCAGAGGGCTTCATTGTATCCAGGGCTTCCAGCTGTCGAGTCAACCCTGGTGGAGGATAAAACTCTTTGTTTGGGAGCCTGTCCTGTTTGGCACATGGGATGGCGTCTTCACCTCATGCATGATCAACATTTTTGGTGTTGTGCTATTTCTGCGAACTGGGTACCTTGTGGTGAGTAGTAGTTGTTTTTTTTTCATCTGGTTATCCAAGCAAAACCTCAGGCTGAGGTCTCTTTTTATCTTGTTTGAGTTTACCTGTTTAGCATAAGTAAATAGCCAATGACAAAAACACAAGTTCAGATTCTGCATATATTTCATATGTTGACAACAGGTGGGGTATCTATTGAAGTTATCTCATTATTATTAAATAGTTGTAAAATAAATAAATAAATAAAACTGACAGACAGGTCCTATGGTTCATCAGCTTCATATTCACCACTCATCATCGTTCCATTAAAATTTCCCCTATTCCCCTCTCACCAAGTCACACTAAACAGCCTAAAGTATTCACATTTAAAGTCAAGATCAATCACTGAGGTAGGAATGCTTATAGCAGATTATGTGCTCTTCTATTCCCAGGGGAACACTGGAGTGTTGCTGGGCATGTTCCTGGTCTCTCTGGTGGTTGTTGTGGCTCTGGTAACAGTGTTTTCAGGTATTGGGATAAGTGAGCACTGTGGAGTTGGAGGAGGAGGGATCTACTCCATGATCTCCTGTGTCCTGGGTGGCAGAGTGGGAGGGACAGTTGGACTCTTGTATGTGTTTGGACAGGTAAGATTACTGATGGAATATATTTAATATGCTTGAGGTTGGAGCTATATAGAAGCATAGAGGACCTTTTTAATAACCTGGTAAAACATTTATAAATTTAGCATAAGTGATCCTGGAATTACTGAAAATAACAGGTTTCAAGATGCCTAGAATGTTTTACATTGCATTGTTCATTCACTCCACACTCTGTGGGGGTAAGCTACTATTGTAGCCACAGCTGCCCTGGATAGACTGATAGAACCAAGGCTGCCAGTTTGTGCCATCTCTCTCTCTGACCACCAACACTCACACACACACCACATTCATACTTGGAAATGTTGGTGAAGTGTCTTGCTTAAGGACAGTTTCCCGGTATTCCCAGTTGCCTGACCAGCCAACCAGTCTACATTCTGTTAGAATCCAGAAGGGTCTGGAATCAGCCCATAGTGAGAAACGCTCCAACCAGAACTCATTTATAGCACGTGTTTCTCAAATGTGGAAGACTTCTTGAAAATTCTCATGCAATAGGCTCTATTCATGCTTATCAGAAGATGTCTGGAAACATGTGGATGAAGACTTCAAGTATAGTTACTGACACTAGGCATATATGACAAAACCATGGATTCAGCAGCGGCGGTTTTCATAACCTGCTAAAGCTTTCCATGGGGAACGTGACTCTAATTGCATCTTCAATGTCAGTTACAGGTAGTTGGTTGTAACTGTCTTTTTTTAAATTAGATTACGCACCATAAGGTAGAATATGTTATACCTTTTTGTTCTCTTGTAGTGTGTAGCGGGGGCCATGTACATCACAGGTTTCTCAGAGTCAGTTGCGGTGCTTTTGGGTCTTCAGCAGCAGTGGGCAGTGCGGAGCATGTCTGCAGTTGTGCTTTTGGCTCTGCTTGGCATAAACCTGGCCGGTGTGAAGTGGATCGTGCGTCTGCAGCTGCTTCTGTTGGCCGTGCTTGCAGTCTCCACTCTGGACTTTGTCGTTGGCACCTTCACTCACCTTGACCCCGGTAAGACAATCTACTGGTGAATATGGCTATGATGAGATTATTTGGATAAGTGATAATGATGATTAGCCAGGTCATAATAAGAATATAGCAAGAATAAAAAAATAATGATACATGTGGACATTTTAAAAGCCAAAATAAATCATTACGTCTAAAATATAAAAGTGTGTGGTAGTGTCATGCTGATACTGATTTGAAGATAAATTCTAAACTCATAATTTATTTCACTCTATAGTGACCAGAGGTAAATATCTCAAGCATTATTTCTTTGTGTTAATGAGCCCAGACAATCTATTTTTTCCCCACATGAAATTATGATTCCTTCTCACCAATAGTCCACTTATTTATATGTATTTATTATTTTAGATGGAGCCAGAAGTGCCCCTATGAACACTTCCTATCTGAAACGAGGTGGCTAGCAGGTTAGCTATGGCCCTTTGTACAGACTATGCTCTCACCCGACATGTTGCACATTGTTGTACCACAGTAAGAACAGTAGGTGTCACTGTAGTATTGCTGATGCTGTCTATATTCTAGCTAATAAATTAGCTTTGGAATTCTCTACATTGTTCTGTTTAATTTCTGGGACCCGATTTCTACCATCATCCTATTCAATAATACTTTAAATTCACAAATCATTTTTTTTCTTTTGTTCTCTGGTCTCAAAAATTGTTTATTTTTATGTGTGTGTAAAGCCGGTGTCATTTTGTTGACCTCCAGGAAGTCCTCCTCTACATTTCCTGTTCTCACTGATTATCAATGTCCTGTTGAGTGAGAGTCAAAACAGAATGACAGAATTTCTAGTATAGAGTATTAGAAGTGCATGTTGTTGGCAGCTAGGAACATGTAGGGCACTTCTTCACATGTCACACCAGCTCCACATCTAGATCAACAACTTAAATCACAAATTATTATAAAATTCAGGTTTTCAACATCAAGAAAGCAACTTAACTGTACACATTTTAACTGTAACCATTGCCCATCAGGTTGTATTTATTATTTTATATTTTGTATCCATGATGTGTCAATATTGATTATCTTTCAGCATCCATAGATTTTTGGACAATATTGCAATTTAACAAGAAACTTAAGGAAGCTGTTATCATTATTTTACACCTCAACGCCTCCGTGATTTACCTCTTATGTCATGAATTAGACTGATGGATTTAGCATAACCTCTTTATGTGCACCAACTGCTTCTTGTAGCACGGTTAGCAGTAGCCACTTTGCACTTTCTCTAACAACTGTGAGAAAACAAAGCATAACTGCTGCTCCAGCTTTTTTCAATTAGAACTGCCTGTGCGCCGCTGTGACTTCATGTTTGGCAGGAGCCCAGCAGGTCCCAGAGTCTGCTGCTGAAACAGGCCAGGATAGTTTGCATTTACTGACGGAAAAGAAGCCAACACCAAGACCACTCAGGCAGAGAGAGGTTACGTGTCCTGCTAGATATTAGGGCTGAATGATTGGGACAAGCATTGCGATTAGATTAACAATTAGATTTGTGATCAGATTTGCAATTTGTGTTTCAATAATAGGATCATGTTCAAAGCTCACATTTTAAACACATTCAGAAGAATTTAGAAAAAGATAGATATACGAACTGACAAACTGTAACATGTTTTACAAATCTAAACCACAGTGTTAGGAGCTTTTGTTCAGAATAAGACACAATATTTTGTTGTTTTTGGAGGAAATGATGGTACTTCAAAAACTGCTTGTGATTTGCCAATTGCATTCATTCAAATAGCCATTTGCAATTAATGCTGCAGCCCTAATGGTGTAAGGGTTAGATATAGGACATTAATGGTGTTCTCAAATGGTTCTCAAAATACCTAGAACATTTTTATAACAATCCTCACAGTGAGCGGGGTAACCTCTCCACAGATCTGATCTGTAACTTGGGTTTGTGGTGTCATCTGCTTCTATCCATGGAGTCAAGCAGGTAGCAGTCCTTCACCAGAATAAGCATGCCATAATGGGGCTTCACAGGTACTGGTATTTTCTTTTAGTGTAGTTTTTGTGGAGTGTTGTTGCCACACATAAGTCTTGATGATAGCTGTACAGAATGGGGGACCAACCTCTATGTCAAACTGATGGGCAAATCTAAGCACATTGTGACACTATTTGAGTGGATAAAACTGGAGGATTATCATTGCAGGATGCTGTGATTATATATACTACATGATGTTGTCTGTAAGTTTTCAGAACACCTTAGAAGACCATAGAAGACAATATTGCAATTGAATCGGAATCAGTTTGAGTTGGTGCAATTATCAATTTGCAAAAGCAAATTATTGAGGTAAAGTGGAGCGTGTTCTGAAACTCAGCTGGTGAAGCTTTGTGTTCACTCACAGGAAGCCACAAAGAGCTTGGGCAGGGTTTAGGGTGTTGACCAAAACCACACACATTTTTGTTTACAAAGATACATCACCAATACTGATTTATTTTTTTTACGTTTCATATTACTTTACCATTTATTTATGTATTTTATTTTTTTGTATCTTGCACTATTTTATGATCTATGATAAAATTTTGTATCCTCATCAGAAACATACCTGGAGTTTTGTTTCCCGCATGTTTAACACACAAACCCTGTAAATTTAGGCTGAGGTCTTCCGTTCCATCTTGTGATGTCATGTGGCAGTTTTGAATGATTAACACACACAGGAGTACATTTTACATAATATAGGACTTTTAATGAAGAATAAAAGACCATTCTTATGGGAAATCAACTTTTAGCCATGTTGCAATTTTAAAAACAATCCTGTGCATTTAGAAGGCCTCCACTGTCCAAAACACCAGGTTCCACCCTGTGACATCATTAGGAGCAGTCTAGGAAGCACAAATCCTTAAATTAAAATCTGTACAATTAAAGTTTTTTTTTCCTATTCACCACATTGCATAGCATAAATATTCGTGCGCATCCTCATTTTAGCAGGACGTCCTAAATCTGTGACCCCTGACCTTTGCTCCATGTCAGTGTTCTGGGGGAGTACCAGGTCTGGGTGGCAGAGGGTGAGGCGTCTTAACATTTGTGTAATCTGACTACACATTCCAGTCTGTATCAGGAATGTTGGATTCAGAGAAGATGCACTGCTATAAAGGACTGATGTTGCTATTTAAATAATGAAAATGCAATACAAGTTTTTTTTTTTAATGGAGAAGATGAATAGATTAGGTGAGCTATGTTACTAACTATACTTATTTCATAATTCATAACTTTGTCCTGTCACCCACATGCCATCATTGATTATTAATAAATCTATTTATTTATTTATTTTTACCATCACGCTTTTAACATTACCAATTTTCTTACTTCTTAACATCAACTTTGAGGACTACTTTCTGTCACTAAAACTATTGAAACAAATGTTCACTACAAATGAAAATGTTCAATACCAAAACGAATTGACTTATTTTATCATATGATGCTACTATACTACTTTTGATGTAGAGACCATACTAAAACTATTTATAATATAGGTCCATTATTTTTTTGTTACTATTGAGTTCAGATGAGTATGATTCTAGTGCATGCTTGTAATGTTTTCCTTGATTGATAGGAGCAAAAAATTACTCAAGTAAACGTATCACATGAAAAAACTATTAAAGTACATGTGTAAAAATGTAGTTATAAGAGTAAAAAGTAAAAGTATTTTGCAGAGATTTTTTAGAACAATTAAAGCATCAAATGTAGTGATTTTGATAAAGAATTTTGGTGATTTCAAGGGATTTTTTTCTAGCTGTTTTTGTGTATTTAGTTTGCTCAAAGTTGGGTCGTTAACTCAAATTAAATGGTCTAAAGAACTAGTACTTTTTACTTGTCAGTCCAGATCTGTGATCAATGTAGTGTAGTAGAAATTAGATACACGCTCTCAAATGTAGTGACATAAAAGTAAAAATTATGCACTGTAAAATGAACTTAAGTAAAGAACAGATACATAAAGATTTTACTTAAGTATAGCACTTTTACGGTTGTATTTCGTTACCTTCCACCACTGGATAAATGTAAAATGATTTTACTCCTAAATGCTTAGGTTAGCACACTGGCTATTTAGTGTGGGTAGGAGCAATGAGCAAATGTGTGATTTGACTGTAGAGAATGAGGTTGCTGGGTGGAGAACCCTTACTGCATACAACATTGACACTTCTTGCTGCCCTGGATTTAAATTTCTTATTTTATAGGGTGGTCTCTGGCCTCTTGGGGTTTGTAAAAGTTTGAACCTCCAGCTGCTTTTGAAGTCCGTTTTCACACCCTCCTTAAATTTCTTGAGAACATGTGCACTTCAAATCTCCATTCCTCCTTTTTTTAGTTTTTGCTTTAGTTGAAAACAAAACTCAATGTTACTTGGACGTTGTAATCTTTGCTCTCGGACTTGGACTCTGCTGAGCTTCTGAAAAGGGTGGCGACTTCCTTTTGGATAAACATGTCATTAATCTGTGAGAACACATGCTTTCCCATCACAAGATAACCAACGGGGAAATGTCCGGTGTTGTAACATAGGCGGACCCTTTCGACCTGGTTTAAATGGCCTAAACTTTATGCATGACGACACCTTTTTTACATTTACTAAACCCAGTGACTGTGCTGGATACAGGAGGGTTATGTAACGATGGAGGGCATGGATCATACTGCACTTGTATTCTTGTGGTACAGTGCAGTGGTATTGTGCAGTATGTGGTACCCGAATCACATCAAATTGCAAATTACACTAGCTCTAGAACTTAAGCGTAAAATAAAAGTCAACATTGTCATAAAAGTCTATCACTAATCACTAGTAACAGGCTTTTGTAAGTCTAGGTTGTCTGCAAAAAGATACTTACTGCACCTGTAATATATCTTTTATGGTGTGAGATCTGCCCTCTACTTATCTCCATGGAGATGTTATTTCTCTTCCTGGTATGTTCCAGAGCATAGTATTAAACTTGAATACCTTGCAAACCATGCATTCATAGCTGGATTGCGTCTCCACAAATCAGACCTGTAACTTGACCCGGTGGTGACATCTGCTTGGGTCTATGGAGATGGATAGGTTTAATACCATCAGGAGACAAGCAGGTGGTGGACCCTAAACCAGAAAAATAACTTACTGTACCTTTTAATAAAAAAAGCAAGCACTTATGAAATTTATTTGACCTTAAACTGAAGAATGAATGAGAAAATTTCTTCCTTGAGTAACAAGCTTATGAACTCTGTGTTTATGTCACATGTAAATACTTGTAATACTTTATATTCAACAATGTAAATGCAGTGTTACCTGGCCTCTGTATAATGTTGTTCCCCTATTTTTGCAGAACATGGCTTTGTTGGTTATTCCAAAGAACTGCTCCAAAGTAATTCAATGCCAGATTACAGCCCAGGAGAAAGTTTCTTCACTGTTTTTGGGGTATTCTTTCCAGCTGCTACAGGTAAATCTACTTTTTATTTCATATCAAACTATGTAATCCATGCGTTCATTATTGCATCTTCTATTTAGCATAGTTTTGAGTATTGAGAATGGGAGTATTTATTTTTCATTTACAGAGACTTGTAATTGTTATGCAGTATTTACATATTTGTGGCTTGTCTGTTTGGAGGGGTTATGGCAGGCTTCAACATGAGCTCCGACCTTCAGCGGCCTGAACACAACATCCCGGTGGGAACGCTCGCAGCTGTCTTCACCTCGTATGAAAAACACACACAGTAGACAACTAAGATAAAACTGAATCAAATAATACATATTGCCTAATGTATGTATATATGTTTTCATCAGTAGTGCCTCTTTTTGAAGAATTGTACTCCTCCTGTACTATTATGAAAGTAGCATTATAATAGGCACATCAAATATAGTAAGAGGACAAGTAAGGATGATTAGAAACATAAACATTAACCTTAACATAAACTATACAGACTTTTAATAATTGCTATTTGACACAATTTATTTCTCCAAAGTCTGCTACAAACCACATGCTTTTACTGACAGAGGATTGGCTCCTTCTGCTTATCCGGCTCAGATTATGGAGACAGCCACCAGGGTCCTCTCAGACTTCCCTCACCCCAGACACTTCGACCAGCTTTTCTGGGAGAACTCCAAGGCATAGTCCCTCCAGCCTGACGACAGTTAGAAATGATTAATTGTCTAGCACTTGTAGACAGTGTACAACATTTAAACATTATATCTGACTTTATTACACCAGGGAATTCCTGAGATTCCAGTTCAGAAGGTTCAGAATGTTGTTAGTACAAGTTATCTAAAAATAGTCATAAAATGTTCCTATTAATAGTATCCTGAAGCTGTTTTAATGGAGAGGACTTTGCTGCAGGTGGTTCCTGTATCTGGTCTTTGTCTTCCTCCTGGGGGCCATCTGCACCAGAGAGACACTGCGCTATGACTTCTTAATAGCAGAAAAGGTAAACATTATGTGCTGTATGGTTCTGTGTTGTAAATATGTGTGTTTGCCAGGAAAATACACTGGATCAAGTAACGTTAACTTAACACTTAGCTATTCCTTTCAGTGTCTCCCTACCTGACAGTTTTTCAAACCTCATAACCTCATACTCATTATAAATCCCAGTTGTACAATGAGTTTCTTTGTGTAGTATTCGGCTAAAAGTAACAGTTGTGGTGACCACTCAATCATAAAATAGTCCCACTGTGGGTATGCAGTCAGATAAGTCAACACAACAAACCAAACCAGGCATCTTGCATTTAGGTTTCAGCAAAATTATTTAAGATAGCTATTTTTACTATATTTACTCTTCTGCTTTCCGTTCCTGAACTACAAATTGGAATCCACTTCACGATAGCTGCTTATTGTTAATGTTAAGCCTATTCATATTTTAACAAACAATACTGTGATAAATTTTGTTGTATTTTTATTTTTAATATGGATAATAATGATAATAATAATAGCATAAGTAATGATAATAAATTCATAAATGGATTTTGGGCCCATGGTCTGACCAACTTAGAACAACTAACCCATTACCTAAATGCACTGAAAGTAATAAAAAGCAAATTAAAGTTTTAGTTAAATTCTAAAACCTCCCAATAAATGTAAAATATAACACAACTATTTTAACTAGGCACCTTTGACTGACCTGTTCTAATATAAAAATGTCCCACATCACTGAGGTCTTGTTGCCCTTGACTCCTGAGTTTGTGGCTGATTCTCATTGTTTTCATAATGGGCTGACTGCAGCGGAACTGAGCAGGGTGTAGCTCCACAGCACCCCATACTCCACCCCATCCTCCTCCTCTGTTTGTTTTCCTTCTTCCTCCAGGTCTCCTTGGTGGGTTTCCTCTTTCTCCTCGGCCTCTACATCTCATCCTTGGCTTCTTGCATGGGCGGCCTGTACGGAGCTCCCAGAATCCTTCAGTGCATCGCTCAGGAGCGGGTCATCCCTGCTCTAGCCTTCCTGGGACAAGGGGTGGGTACATGGATGGCACCAGTAGGGAAATGAATGTCTGGACAATTACGCCATGATAAACTTTTAATGACTGTGATGTCAATTATGAATGTAAAAAACATCTGCTGGATCAAAATACACATTTATATCTATTATAGTACATTGAATTATTACAAATATTAAATGAATTAGCTAGTTTTGCAGTATACTAAATTTACTCTACACAAATGAAAAGAACATGAAAACCCTTTTTAAACATCTGTTGTAGTTTAATGCCTTATTATGTAATATTCTAGGCAATAACATCTCCATGAAGACAAACTGGTAGTTCCAGACAGGTTGTGTAGATAATCTTTAATATATAATTACTGTAGAGAAGGAAGCACTAAAAAATCTGTATGTGTAAAACAGAACATGAAATTAACTTCTATCAGTTCTTGTCAGACAATTTGGGGCCTGCTTCAAGATTCACTAATTTTACCATGCCTCATTTCTAAGACAGTGAGGCCATAAATCCCTATATCCTATCTTGTAAACAATGTTAAAATTATTTGAAATTTGTTGTGTGGTCTAGGGCGTAGTGAGAGTGGTCTAGCTAGAGGGGGTGTGGTAGGTGGTTTTGTGACAGCATTGCCTAATTTTAGACTTGGAGGAGCTTTCACTTTGGCCCTCTTCAGATCTGTGAGTGGATGCAATGCTTAATAGTCGCAGTGTACATAGTTGCGTTGATTAGATGACCCCCATGACCTTTAGCTTTCTTCAGACTCCCATGACCCGTGCAGTGGTCTGGACTCCGGCTGGACCAGGGGCCTAGACATCTTGGCCCTAATCAAAGGCTCAGGACAAACGCAGGAAGGGCGACAGGGCAGGGTCCGGCTATGGTGTGTGTTCTGGAGGCCCGCCAGGAACACAGCTCCTCCAACTCGATAATATGAACGCTGAAGCCAACTCAAAGAAGACATTATGTAAAATAGATTTTTATTATTTTCGAATGAGATGTTTGAATGGTATTCTCTCATCATTAGCTCTCTCAAAGTTGAATTTTGGATTGTAATTGATTCAAGTGTGTTTAAGTAGTGCAGTATTGTTCTGATTTGGAGGACTGAGTGCTCTGATCATTTCTGTTTTCACCTACCCCCTATCTCCACCCACTTCCCTGTACTTACTTGCACTTATTCAAAAAAAAATCTGACTCATGGTCAATACATGTAGGGCTCCCAATTGTCTTGTAATTTTTCAACAATTAAAACAAGTACATTAAAACCAGCTGCTTGTTTCGGTGAAATGGTACTATGAACAGGCATGGCCAGTGACTTCTGTAGTTTTGAACAATGTCATTGGACCTATTCCTATTACTCTGTAAATATGTTAATTTCAACTGTAATGGCATATTGTATTTGCAAAAAATACATTTTATTGTACCTTTTACTATTTTCAAACATTTTCTTAATTAAAGTTGCACATGACATTGATGTTTTAATTTGACAGAAATATTTTTGTGGGTTGAACTTTGCCTTATTATGTTATCTTATTGTGTTTCCTTTTTATATTTAACAGAAAGGCCCTAACAAAACACCAGTGGCTGCCATCTGCCTCACCAGCCTGTTGACTATGGCTTTTGTATTGATCGGACAAGTGAACATTTTGGCTCCTATAGTTACCATCAACTTTATGCTCACATATAGCTTAATTGACTATTCCTTCTTCAGTGTGGCTATGACCTACCGACTTCAGGCCAAAGATAAAAATAAAACACATTTCTTGACCAAACAAAAGCAATGTAGAACCACCTCAGGTATCTCTAGACCACTCATTGAAAATACTCTCCCAAAATATGGCAGCAGTGGCCATAGTCCACAGAGGAATTTGTGGGAATTTACAAACGATATGAATCAATTTTTTCCAGTTGGTGGTGGATCTATGAAAAACATGTCTTTCAAAGAACAAAAAGACAAAAACAAGAGTAAAGTAGATGTCAAGCAGATGCTAATGAACAGTTTTGATTTGAAAAGTGACAACAAAACAAAACATTCGGATGGACAAGAGGAGGAAAAGACAAGTGATCTGACAAGTGCGGATAAAACTGACCCAGGATCTGTGCTGACAAGGGACAATGAGCTTCACCCACCTCTGGAGCAAAATAACAACACTGCAGGTAAACAACTAAACAAAAACACTGGGTGAGTTCATACTGAGAATGATCTATTTGTTCTGTAAGATTTTATTAAAGTAATACATTGTGTGTGGTCTGGTTTGGTTCTGTTATAATCCTGTTTTAGTCCTGCTTTAGTCCTGGTGCATGTGTGAGCCCACCCTTATATCTAAATTTGTTGTAAGACAATGTAGTTAGGTAGTACAAGTAGAAGTAGTAGTTGTACTACCTTTGAAGTATTGTTTAAGCTTATTCAAAGGTTCAATGGTTATAATTTCTACTTAAACTTTGAATATATGTCCCAGATGTTGTTATTGATGCTTTACTAGAGTTTCAAGGATCAGTCTAATAAGTTTTCATTAGTTTCAGATCATGAGGTTTCCAAAGACCATGAAAGAGTTGAAATAAAACCTATTACCAATTCATTTTATCTAAAAGTCTGCAACCATTGGGTAGCTCTGATTGGGGTAAGTAGGCTTACATGTATAGATGTTGTAGTTATCAGTAACAAAAGGTTGTGCAAGGCCTTTAATTTGTATTTTTCAGGCCATCAGCTCGATTGTAATCATGTTTGTTATTGAATGGATCTATGCACTGGCAAACATAATTGTGGCCTTGCTACTTTTTTTCTACATTGGAAAAACGAGCCCTGGACTACCTACAGGTAACACACAAATACTATTTTAAAAAAAAAAGCTCACCTTTTTTTTTTTTTTATTTCTTTTTTACAATAATTCACTTTGATCTATCAAAGCATAATATTTTTAGATGCACTGATCAAAAGCAGTTTATACTTTCTGAAATAATACTGATGTTTATATTTTTGCAGTGATTTACATATACTTAATACCAGAGGTGGGGACTTGCAAGTCATAACTTGGATTTGAGTCTTAAGTCAGTCTATTTTTAGGACTTGAGACCTGACTTGATAAAATGGACTAAGACTTAAACTTGACTTGCACATGAAGGTCTGTGACTTGTCACTTGACTCGGACTTGAGATCTGTGACTTGAGAAGACTTGAGAAGCACTGAATTCGTTTTGCATTTTGACTGTAAGGATTCACTCTAAGATCTTGTCAAGACATTTAAAAAGGAAAATAATTGCATTTCTACAACTCTTATTTACTCTATAAATACTCCTATATAAATATACTATGATTTTATAAGTACAATTTATCTTAAAACTCATATAAATTGCAAAAATCTAAGCTATATTTGGTACTTTGGTTTAAAGACTTGAAGCTCAAAGCAGATGACTTAGACTTGACTTGGACTTATGGATCAGTGACCCAAGACTCAACTTGGACTTGCTTGTATTTGACTTGGGACTTAACTTGAACTTAAGGTCAATGACTTGGGACTTACTTGAGACTTGCAAAACAACGACTTGGTTCCACCTCTGCTTACTACTTCTGATAATGAATTAGTTACTTTATAATTACACCCTCCCAATGTGAATAGTTGCCAGCACAGACTCTGGAACCAGTGAGCTCTTAAAATAAGTTTAATAGTATAATGTGAATAAATATCTTAATGTGTAGTCTGACCAGATTAATCTCTATTAAATATGAATTGCAGTAGTTTAAGAGTAAAAATGCTATCTGCTGGTAGCGTAATATCTTAAAGATACCATCCACATGTTTCTAAAATTTTTTTCACCAGTATATGAAAGATGTGAAATCTTTTCTTCCCCTCTTTTGTTCAGGCCCACCTGTGCTCTCTGGTCTTCTTCTGTCAGCCTAAACTTGGCACACAATCAGACAGCAGTAACATAGATAGCATCTAGTGGCAATATGTGAGAATATAACAGGTGTGGATTGGCTAATTAAATTACAGAGGGTAGTTTTAACCTTTTCACACTAGAAAATGCAAACGCAGATGGTAATTGGCACAATTTGAATTAATCCTGAACAAAATCACGTCAATATATGCACATTCATGATTTTAGAAGATTACCATAGACATTATTTTCCTGTTGGAAATATGTTTTATAGTCTTAATATATATATATATTTTTTATTATTATCATAGTTTTATCATAATACAAAATTGACCTAATAAATGAGAGAGCAAGCAGGACATTGTTAAGGTCTGTGCTCATTTGTTATTTGACCATTCTTTGGACATACTTTTGCCTGGCAGCTGTTGGAGCTTCTCAAATAGCTGGACACATTACATACAGCACGTTTCAGCTCTGACTTGAGATTTTTGGGCAATTGTTAAACAGTAATTCAACGATATATTTAGGATTCAAGTGTGCTTTTATATCAAGTTTTCAAAGTAGGGTATATATCTTTTCTATATGTTTGTACAGGTATTGCAGCTCGTTTCAGCTTTTTTACATGGCTGAAAACAACACTAAAAAGCATTCTCAGGTATGGTGCAGTCAGAAAATTACATCTATCTATAACCTTTTAATTTCACACTCTGTGAGCCTCTTCTTTTATATCTTTTTTATTTTTTTATATTGGTAGATGGTGTCTTTCTTCCAGTAGAACAAGTAGCCATTGTAAAATACAAGTAAATTAAAGCTGATGTGCTGTAAATGTGCTTTACAGGAAAAAAGGCCTCCCTCAGGATGAGATAGTTATGACACCGTCTCTTCCCGGCGTCGGATTGAAAACTAAACAACTGACTGAAGAAAATGCTGATTTTGCTTCTCGACTCAAATATCACCAGTCTTCTTTCATAGAACCAGACAACATGGTACATCCAACATTGTCTGAAGTTAACGATTGTCTTAGATGATGTTGGAAGAACTCATGTTTCCCACTGTAAATAAAATTATTGCAAATTAACAAGGGAGCATTTTTTTTCTCAAATTACAGAATAATTACCTTACTGATTCCATGGGCTATCACACAATACATATCAACTCAGGGTCTATCAATAAATACAATGTAATAAGATAAAATGAATAATATATAATATAATAATATATTTGATTATATTTGTATTATTACAATCTAATCTCACTCACAGACATACAGTATCTTGTATTACATATAGACCTAAACAAGAGACCAAAAATATGTCATTGAAATTTGATTGAAAATTGATCATTATGTACCTTGCTGTCTTCATTTACCCTGCTAGATAATGTTTAAGTTTTATTGGCAAATATTACATAGTGGTGATGAAGGTGTGAAAACCACATCCTCTTTATATATGTTAAACCTGCATCATTTTCTCTATGCTTTTTCAACACTGGAAGTCTCCAAACCAACTACTCATAACACAATTTTATCATAGTTTGACATTGACCAACTTGTCTAAACAATGCCAATAATCAAATAAGTATAGTCAAGGTAGTAGGCTGACTGGGTATCAGTCTAATTATTACTTTTCTTTTTAAAATGTAGACATATGTTATACATATAGGCTAAATAGTCTGCATATCCGAAACCAGGCTATGCTTTCTTTTAGTCTATTGGAGTGTGTACTGCATACCAAAATAATCTGTTTGAGTAAAAGTAGGCTCAATTCCTAAATACAGACGGGACATTGGTCCACAGTTGGCCCTGCCTGAGCAGTGGCACAGCGTGTGTGTGGACTGGAGGAGGAGGCGGGCCCTGGGCTCTTGGCTGTGATAACTGGCTGCAGCCTGTTGCTCTGGTATCTTCCGCTCCGCGTCGCGGTGCTGCGGACCTCCTCCGGACATCTGCCAGGATTTAGGCTTCCAAATTCCTAAAACTCCACTCAAACTATAGTGCTTTTCCATGGTGTCCCCGGGAGGATACTCCGAGCTTTATTCGACTGTATGGATTCTCTCGGCGCGTGTATGACGATGAGAGACGCGTGGTTTTGGAGTCACGTCTTGGGACTGTCCCTGTCGATGGTCGCGCTGTGTGCGCCGGGGACCCTCGGGGCATGGACCCCAAACAACCAAAGCGCGAACCCCACAACAACAGACTTTTACTCTTCATCCACTCCACAGGAGGATGTGTTCACCGAAGCAGCGTCCCTCTACAGCGACAGTCCGCCCGCATCACAGGGAAACCGGGTGCTCCCGCTCAGCTCCACCGCTGGACACTTTGGTAAGCCAGAACAGCAGGATAAGAGCAGGCCTGGGGCGGCAAGTGCACGTCCCGCACTGCCATCCGGAGTTTATGGGGAAAACACTATGGCCTAACTCAACACCTGCAAATCTGATATACAACTTTTAAAAATGATCTAACTTAACTTTCACTGGACTTTCAACATGACCTCTTATTGTTTATGGTGCTATAACAGGTACATTTACATAGCAGGCTGCCGGCTCTGGGCAAAAAATGCCAAAAATATTTAATAGGCAACTTGGTGAAACAGTAGGCAAAGTGTTAATTAGGCCTGATGGAATAAATGACGTTGCTTTAAGGTTTGATTCACATTCGCCTACTGAGTCAACTTCAGACAGACACATAATTCGTACAGCTTGTTTCTTATAGTCATGGTCCATGGTCACACATGGTCCCTTACCATTCCAAGGGACCATGTGTGGGCCCTTGCACTTTTTTTAAATTAATTTCTCTCTGTCCAGCTTTGATAAAAGGGAACCATCAGCCACTTGGGCAATGGAAATCCGTGACCACTTATTTCTAACCATTCTGAGAAGAATCTGGACTAGTCAGTCTACTGTCTGTCGAATCATCCCCAGGAACACCAGCTCTACCTATTCTTATATTTATTTCAAATAATACTTTTCTCTGTGTAGAGCTTTTCCAACTTAAAATTAGAGTAGGTCAGACATCAGAGGCCAAAACTACAGAGCGTCATCTTCACAAACAGAAAGTCATCTCAGTCATATAGTGGAAGTGTCATCTCCATGTGAGGGAGGATCACCAGAGGATTTCTGTAATTTACTGTCAACTCCACATTCCTCTGTCATATGTGCCACTGTTGAGACCGAGGACACAGAATAAAACAATGGAGACATGCAAAGAAAGCAAAAAGAAAAAAGTAAAAGTCACTTAACTTATTTCTTTTTGCAAAATGCTAATAAATTATGTTTGATTTATGAGTGGAATGGAATTAAATTAAAAGTGCACTCTGTAACTTTTCTGTCACATGCTGGGGTGATATTATTACAGTCTTACTGTGAGCAGCATTACCTTTGCCAGTCTGACCTGTAACTTGGTTTAGTGGCAACACAACCTACATGGAAACAAGCAGAATGCTCCTCTGTGGTTTGCTGTCTACCATAAAATAAATTGACCTTTTCATTCTCTAAGATCTCTATGAATAATTTATACAGAGTAAGAAGGAAACGGTGAGAGGCAAAGTCAAATTAATACATGCATTGCTTTATGATTGTTAGAAGTCGGTCAAAAGCACTAGGTGATAGAAGAACTGTTGGCTTATGAATAAAATAATATGTACTTTTTGTTATTACAATCCATAGACCACCACTAGTCTATTTGTATAACAATTATTAATTATATTTTCAAACAAAAATGAAATATAAAATAATTATGATACATTTAATTGTGTAATATTACTGCTATATTATATCAGGGTACCAGTAAAAAGGCTGAAAATAAATATAAGACAAAACTGATCCAGTTATGTTATGTAGCTACAATTTATCCCACTAGTAACTACTGAACAACTTTGTATAAATAAAAGTTCAAACATTATGAGATCAGTACCAAGAACGACCAATAAATAATCTTATTACATCAGTTTATACTAATATGTCCAGCTGGATATGAGATGACGCGATATTTAGAAGCCAATATCCGATCCAGCAATTTTTTTCAGTATTGGCACCAATATCCAATACCAGTATCAGAAAGGTGCATCATTATACCTAATGTCTACTAGTGTTAATTATACCCAAAACAAAAATAAAATCGAGTTAACTGAAATAAAATTATGTCATTCATTATTATAAAGTGCACTGAACTGAAATACATGTTTCAGTGGTAATACAATAAAATATGCCAAAGTAGCCTACATTTTAGAGTTCACCAACAGGCAGACTTCCACTTAAACAGACTTCAGCGTTATTGATGGACAACTACAATACAATTAGCGTAGCAAAAATAGCAAAAGACTCAGATTTCCATATATGCCTGAAAAAATAAAATGTACTTCACATAAAATGTATCTTGGTTGTACAAGAGGTGTTGGGGCAAGGAGATGGGCCTATAAAGTGTGAAGCAGAGCAAACTTTCTACCCCTGAGATAATAACACGTATACAGCGGGTGACACAGTGCACCAAAGACAATGAGCAGCCGCACACACCCATTTCCAGCACTGCACTCGCTCCACTTTAGGAAGGAAATGCCCCCGTCCCACAGGACACAGACAACTCCATATTTAGTACTTCAAGTCTTTGCTACCATTGGCAACGGTGATTTCCCATTGTTCTCCACCTAAAGATTTTACTTTTGGACAATGCAGTAATTCCCCTGACAGCATCTTCAAAATTATAGGATTTGTGAAGCATGCTTTTAAGTTAGTTCAAGCTTGAGTTTTGAGCGCCCTCTCCTGGCAAAAAGACATAATCAAATCTAATCTCTTTTGATTTGCAATAAAAATCAATATTAATATAGTAAACAGTACACCCACAATAACATTTCCTTTCCTTTATATTTTCTACCTTCCACAGCTGAAGTATACACACACACCACATGCTACTGCAAAGTAGTGAAGTGTCTTGCCCAAGGACACAACAACATGCACTTGCTAGGTATAGATGTGAAGATTTTACAAAAGAAAATATAATTGTAAGAAATAAATAAATTATAATCTTGGGAATTTTAAGTAATTAAAGTGTAAAGGTTTTTCTTTAGGTCTCACTGACTTTATTAGAAAGTGTGATTTCAGCTGGTCACATATTAGAGGAATGTCTGTCTATTAGGCAATGTGTATGACTAAGCTACTGTTGTTTGGTCATGGACTAAAGTTATATGTTGATGCTCTTCTCACAGTAATATTAACACTAAAATGTGTTATTTTGACATCTGTGTAGCTCATTTAGTCATACTTTTCTATGGGTGGGACAAAACACAATTCTTGTGAGATATGAGATTGGGTGCACAAGAACTAGACAGGATTTTCACAGAATTTGTAATAATGAAATTTGTCTCTATCAATTTTTCATTTATTTTATGTAATATTTTGTTGCCACTATAGCACAGAAATGCTATAATACTATATCTTCTCAATTTAACACTTTTTGTTAAATCCCATTGTAAACACATGTAAAAAATCTCACAAGATTATTTTCCTCATATGTGCACAATCTTGTCCCATCCCTATACTTAACTTTACCCAGACTACTGTAAAGTCTGAATACACTGTACTAATAATGTTAGTAATTTATCTTATTTTTGTATTTATACACAGCTGAGACACAAACCTTTGATGAAAGAAGCAGCATTTCACTGGAATCCACAAATCTGACTACTGAGCCTCTGTCCTCCTCTCTCACCTCCTCCTCCACCACTGAAGCTATCTACAGCAGCACCCACACCAGTGACGAAACAGGCAGCACCCACACAGGCCAGGCACCCATGGGATCCCCTGCAGTGTCCTGGGAGCCTCGAGTCTGGACCTGGACTGAAACTGAGGATACAAGTTTGCCCCGTGACAGTCCAGATAGCACCCTAAGACTTGGAGATGTTACAGACTTTATTTCACAAACTGCCATAAACACAGACAGTGCATATACATCAACCACTATGAGCAGGGCAGGGGAGAGGGCATTGCTTTCTATTAGCTCTTTTCAAAACAATAGCACCTCTTCTGTTTTTACCGAAGACTCAAGTTCCCATCAACCATCTGCGACATGGCCTCTTTCACTGCAAACTACAGAGACTGAAGATTATACTCACACCATTTCTCTACCCAAAACTGAGGTTATGGACATAAAACCCCAAACCGACTCTAGAGAAACCTATTCAGAAATGGGACATCCTGTATCATCTAGTAGGACAGAAACTTCAATAAATGCTACAGAAAATCAACAAACATTTACTTCAGAAGTGACATCCAATTTGACGTCATCTTTTACTGTAACAGAGCAGAGCATAGGCCAGACTGAATTTGTAATATCTTCAACACCTCCTATGCTCTCTCCTCCCATTTTACCCACAAACGCCTCAGGCACAGATCATGAGGTGAGTTCTTACGAAACATCTACTCAAGTTTCAACTGAGGTCCATAGTATGAGCACTCAGAACCAGCAGGGCACAGAAGGGGTCCCATCCAAAACTGAAGAGGATAAGGTGGACATTGGCCTTATTACAGTGCCCCCTACTGTCATCAGCAGGACGGATAACTCTCTGACTGAAATGCTGGTTACAGAAGTTTTCCCCACAACAATAACTGACACAGTAACAGAAAGGTACATATTTGTCAATACAATCAATGTATACACAAATATGAGCTTATATTGCATATGAAATGTTTTTTTCTAATCATTGTGTTTGCTTTGTTTATGTTGAGTGAAATAATTCTGAAAGTAATTTTTATTTGTTTTTAATAAGAGACAAAAATCAAGATTGACCCAAAAGATGAGAAAAAAAATCTGATCAATGTTTGTCATATTGTCCTTTCCACTTTGAGATGGTCTAACCTGTCTGACCTGTTGCAGAAATTGTGTTTTTTTTTGTTTTTGTTTTTTGGTGTTTTATCACACATTACCACACAGTGTCTCGTAAACATATTTTATATATGACATTTATACATACACTACATTAGTTCCTGGGTTTGTGTGACTGTATATTCACAGCTTATTTTCTGATGTTTTGTTGCATTCTTCCACAGATCTCAGCTACCAGAGGAAGACACTTCTCAGGCCACTGTCTCCACCACAAGTGCCCCACTGTCTCCCACTTCAACATCAAAACCTACCACAATCCACTCCACCACTATAGCCTCCCAAACACACACAACAGTTGTCAACATCGTTACAATACTTTCTACCAAAGCATCTTTGCCAGAACAGCAGAGTACTACAACTCACCCTGCTCCAAATGTAGTATCCAAGTACACCCCAAAACCTTCCACAAAGTTCCCAACTAAAAAGACCACTCTGCAGCCTGAGACGAGCACAAGTCCCCTGGAAGTAACCACTGCCGTTCATAGCCAAGTTATCACGACAACATCCACAAATGGGACCCCAACTCAGAGCACAGAGACCCACACCACGCACAAGTGGGCTGGAAGGGAGAGGACTCCAATGGTCACCACAGTATCAACTGCAATCCAACCTCTACCACAACCTCCAAGTTAGTACCTCTTGCATTTCTTTTTATCATGTTCTTTTTTGTTTGTAGACCTGTCACGATAACTAATTTTAAAGTTTGATATATTGCTGAAGTAATTATACATGATAATAATGAAACTTATTTATATCCCTGACACAATAACCCAAGAGTAGATTTATACCACAAAAAGTATTTTAGTATTTTAAAAATCATTAACTGCAATAAATAAATAGCAGAAATGTCCACACTTTGTTATTAACTGAACCTTCTATGGCTCAAAATCTTATCATATATCCAAAAAATAACCAACAATTTCCCTTTTGTGCAAAGAAAAAGTATTCTCAATAAATACTGACCCCAAAACTGTATTGTTCCAGTTTGATTATATACTGAATGATTAGTCAATATAGTAATTATCGTGATAGGCCTAGTTATATGTAAATGTATTTATTTTAAAATTAAAACTTCAAATTGACCTAGAAATTGTGGGTATATATGTCATGATTTTTTGGTAATTTGATCATTGGCACTGTTTGAGTCACAAAAAAATTGTAGAATATGAACTAATGATAGTAATTTTAGAAGCAAAAATTTCAGTCTATAGTTTGAAAAAATCAACCAAAATGTCCTTTTTATCTGGCTTTTTATGTCACTTTATGTTACTTTATCCATTCAGAAAGCTTTTCACATATTTGAGGGATGGTTTATGTATAATTAAACAATGGAGTTGAAAGAAAGTTAAGGATTTCACTGGAGATTAGTCCTAAAATTGTAATATTTCTTGTCACAATTACTGCATTGTAGCACTAAACTTTGATATTGTGACATCCATAATTGCACCCTAACATAAACAGAAAACAGGAAAGCAAATATAGCTTGGTTGAACTCACTGACAATGTCTTTTGGTCTATTTTTTTTGGCACTATATTAGCGTTAATATTAATTGTATTCACTTAATTTACTAGGAAACCCCTGTGTGTCCAATCCTTGTATGAATGGAGGGATGTGTGTAAACTATGTAGGGCATGAGTTCACCTGCCACTGTCAACAAGCCTGGACTGGACCAACCTGCAACGAAGGTGCGTTTCTTCACATTCAGTAAGTTTAATCGCTATTGAATCGAAATAAATTCGCATGGATGTAATAAGCCAATCACAAAAGCTACAATTTTTAATGTACCATTATTTTGTCCACAAACAGCATTATATTCTGTTTTATTCTGCATAAAACTGCTTATCTTGTAGTTTAGAAATGTACAAACATTTTCTGAAATGTGATTTTTGTATTAGTTTGTCAGTTCATATTTCAGTTCCTATTATTCAAACATCAATCACAAATCTAATTGCAATGGGAAAAATGATAATTTAGATTCAAATTGTTCAGCCCTTAAGGTGTCCTGACTGAAGTGTCACTTCTTTTGGATTGGCTTACATTTTGCACTATGAAGAAGAATCCTACTATCAAAACATAAATTGCTAATCTACTTGTAATCATTCACACTGTTCTTAGATATTTTTCCAAAATCAGGGAGTCTTCCTGTGAATTCAGTAAAGAAGGTCTGTTTTTCTTGTTGGTGTGCAGTACAGTGGATGTTTATTTTTAAGGGATGTGTTTGTGTGTGCAGATGTAAATGAGTGTGAGCGGGACCCCTGCCCTGTTGGCTCCAGGTGTGTGAACACAAGAGGCTCCTTCAGCTGTGAGTGTCCGCTGGGCTTTGACCTGGAGGATGGCCGGACCTGCACCAAAGGTAATACACTCACTTTAAAAAACACATTATTCTATTTTCTTGTATCTTGTACATTTTAATTGTATTATATAGACTATTACATAGACTGTCTGTAACAATCTATTAAGTACGTAACTGAAGAAAAAAAAAATCACTACTACTACTACTTACATTTTATTATTAGTTATATGGGTTTATGTCTGTTTTTTTCTATAGCAAAGACATTTCTTGGAACTTTTAGTGTGAACAGACATCCTCATGACACTGTTATTTTCAAAAGTGCAACCATGCATGAAATCCAGAGAGAAATAATACAACTGGTAAGAAGATATAAATATTTTTAATGTAATTAAGGCTTTTAAGGTCTGACATCTCTTTCCTTTTTCTTACTTCAGCTCAATGCTTCATTGTCGGTGCTTCAAGGGTACAGTCGCTCTACACTTAGCAAAAAGTAAGTAAAGCACTTATTGGAGTTTAGTACTCAACATTTTGTTTTTGATTTGATTTGAAATAAAAACTGATTCCCCACAGAGAGGAAGACAGGGTCCGTATTTTTGCGGTGAACATGTTTTCCATCTCTGCTGATGTGACAAGCTCTGAGGTCTACAACAGTATCCAAATGTCCCTGGCAAAGTGCAACTCCTCTTTGGCTCACTGCCACATGGTGCTACAACATCAGCTCACATACCATGGTAAAAACAAAACTGTGTATTACTATGTTTTAACCACTAGAGGGTGCTGTCTGATTGAAGGGATTTTCTAGTATTATTTGCATATGTCTATTCTTTCAGTGTTAGCAGTAACATAATTTTTCTAAGTGAGATGAGCTAAGATGTCACCTTTTTGTTTCCATGGAGGTAAATAGCATTAATGCTATTCTAATTAACATTCCAGGTAATTCAATAACATCTCCAGAATAGTTGCTTAGTGCACCAAGAAAATAAAGGTGTGTTGAAATTACCTCTACTTTTATCACTTTTGGGGTGACATAAGTATAATACAAATTAGGTTAAGGCAAAATCTTAAATAAAATTATGTTTGCTGTGTTTTAATGAAATAAGTAGTTTAACCTGTCATAAGCAGTTTAGCAATGATTGTGTTCTTCTGTTTTGTTGTTTCAGTTGAGAGTTTGTGTGTGGCTCAGCAGACTCAGTGTAACACAGAGCGCTCCACTTGCACAGACAACAGCGGCACTGCCTCCTGTCAGTGCCTGCAGGGATACTATAAGCACAATCCTGAAGACTTGTCCTGTTTAGGTACCGTCTTTCTTTACATTACCTAGTAAAAAAATAATAATACATGATATTATGAAACAGCTGTATACTTCTTTATTAAACTTTCCAGTGATAAGTTACAATTATTGGCAATTCTCTTTCCCTATCGTTATGTTTTTGCTTGTCTAGAATGTGGAGATGGATTTAAACTGGAAAATGGGACATGTGTACCGTAAGTTTGCTATATTAATATATTTAAACAGTATATTGTTTATGATTTATAGTTATATAACTTCCACTCAGGTAATTTCTCACAGTATATTTTAACATTGCAGGTGCATGTTTGGTTTTGGTGGATTTAACTGTGGAAATTGTAAGTCCTGAAATATATACAATTTCCTTTGTGTGAATGAGGAAAGACCACAAATAAATGATCACTTTTTTTTTACAGTTTATAAACTAATAGCAGTCGTGGTTTCACCTGCAGGGGGAGGCATTCTGCTCATTCTAATCATCGCCCTCATAGTTACCTGTTTCAAGTAAGACCTACAATGATAATGTAAAGAGCAGCCTTAATAAAGCAGGAACAAAGACTTAATTCATAATAAACAAATACTTTATTAAAATGATTCAGGTTTAGTGTTTTAAAGGGCCCATATTATACTATTTTATGATCTATGCTGTAATGTTGTTTCCTCATTATTCCTATTGGTATTTTGTTAAAATCACACATGTTTAACACACACACCCTGAATATTTAGGCTAAGAGTTCTTCTCTCAAACAGAAAACACTCTTTTCCATCTTGTGATGTCATGTGGAAATACAGGAAGTGCTCCACTGTGTTTTTTTTTTTTACTCCAAACACCTTCACTAGAATAATTTGGATCATTTCAGCCCAGGAATTACGAATCTCTACTGAGCTAAAGGTAAAATGTAACTGTTAACTTGAAAATTACCACTACATGACATCACAAGGTGGAACAAAGCATTTGGAGCTTTGGAGATGTAGACAGACTAATGATAGGATTACTCAAACACGTGTGAATGAACACAACTCCAGGTTTGTTTTTGAGGAAGTAGCAGCATTATAACATGGTTTTAAGATCACTTGACAGGAGTCACTTTTGCATAATATAGGCCTTTTAGTTAAGGGGTTAGAAGTTATTTTAGAGTATTAATAAAGTAGTTACTAGGCCTGAATCATTCTTTAAAGCATTTGTTCTTTATGTATTAAAACTTCATGCTTTATAGTAACTGATTAAGATGTAATTACCTATAATAATAAATAGCATGGCATGATAATCTGTCACTTCCTTATTTATTTCTAGAGTATTTTTATTTTGGGTTCTAATTGTTCTTGTCTTTCCAGAAGAGATAAGAATGACATAAACAAAATAATCTTTAAGAGTGGAGACTTGCAAATGTCACCTTATGCAGACTTCCCTAAAACCAACCGTATATCCATGGAGTGGGGAAGAGAAACAATAGAGATGCAAGAAAATGGCAGCACCAAGAATCTGCTTCAAATGACTGACATTTATTACTCTGTAAGTGGAGAGAAATGGACCAGTTATTTATTATTATCAAGTTTAATATAATCAGTCACCTGAATTTGTATGTCTTTTTTTTAGCCTGCATTACGTAATGCAGACCTGGAGAGGAACGGCCTGTACCCGTTCACTGGGCTCCCTGGGTCCCGTCACTCCTGCATCTACCCCGCTCAGTGGAACCCCTCCTTTATCAGTGATGACTCCAGAAGAAGGGACTACTTTTAACCATTAAACAAAACACATTCAAATCAAAAGGCATAAATCTATACTTTTTATTATTGTGTATTTACATGTAGGGCTGCAAACAAATTTCTTGGATTTGTTTGCAATCACCAATGCGTAGCACAAAGATGTAAAAATGTGACAACTGTGTGGAAACATTTGAAAGCCAAATGAACAGTGGGAAAGCCTGTTGCAGCTCTTTTATGTAATGAACAAGACTAATTATCACTTCAGAAAAGTTAATATAGGGTCAATTTTATTTCATAATTGTGAACAGATTTGGAAGGCAACTATTTCAAAATTCCTCTTCAGAATGCCAACAATAAATGCAAAATCTAACAGTCACCATTATGTAGGTTTATGACAGCAGAAGTCTTTTTCACAGTTATCCATGGACTGGACATGGACTGAGTACTGTATGTTCTAATGTATTTTATTTAAGCCTGGGTCATAAGATTTATGTGAGGTTCAACCTGTTGCTTTAAGGATCTGTAGCTGTGCTATTTCTGTGTTTGACTGTAGAAGTTGTAATTTACTTTGTGTTTGAGTCAGACATATATTTTTGGTAACGTATTATGCTTTATACTGACGTTTTAGTCAGATGTGCTAATTTAAGAATAAAATGTGTTTTATTATTTATTTGTTTAATTTCTCAGTGGATTCAACTTGACAGAAAGTTGAAAAGTAACTTTACTTTTGGTCTAAGGCAAAGACTGAATCACCTCTAAAGCTACAACATCCACTCACAAGAATATGTGAGCGGAGGCTGTGGTTGTGTTAGGTGGTGTTCCTCAGTAGGGGGCACTGTCACGGTCCATTACATGAGCTTCATATTCCTCTATAAAAGCAGTGCTAAAGAGTTCACAGTACAGAGTAGGTTCCACAGAGACATAACAAAGCCATCGCCTAAACTAAAATGAGCAAATATATTGTTATGCCATTATTAGCTGCTAGAATAATCATTGGGTCACTTCTTTTTTTTTCCATATAATCGTAAATGTGTTTTATGCTTTTTGTGTGATTTTTCCACCTCAGAATGGACAGAGAAAACTGCCTCTGATAATGCTTCCTGGATTTCTTATTTTGTGCACCCATTTCTGTTGTGTTCTCTTAGTTATAGAAGGCATCTATGGCTTATTCATTCAATGAATTTGTATTCATACTTTCATGTATAATTGATTACACTGTGGACTACAGCATGGTCAGCTATATGTGACTGAATTTCTACTACTACATCCAAATTGTATCTGCTCAATCTGCCCTGTTTCACTGGGTAAAACATTAAATCTACTATTTATGTGCTTTTGGTATCGACACCTTACTAAAACTTTTAAGTAGAATCACTACACATGTACATGTTTTCTATGTAGTAATACTGTCTACACAGCAAATTCAAAAGTGTTAAATTCATGGTGATGGTGTCGTTGTGAGTAAAGTGAAGAAAATCCAGATATGTTTCAACATAGTAAAGAGTTATTTCAACTATGACAGTGCTGTATAAAATAAGTAGTTGTTGAGTCACAGTGTTAACATAAAATGAGTAGTTGTTCATTCACAGTGTTAACGTCAAACACTCAAACACAACATTAGGGTTAAGATAAAAATAACTTAAAAATAATTAAGTTAATTAGTAGTAGTAATTATTTAAGTTAAAAATAACCAGCCGTGCGCTCTGAGCTGAGCTTATTTCTTTAGTTCAGTGCTGGAGTAACTGATTTACCCAGATACCATTGGAAGAAAAAATGTGATTGGTCCATTTCCATTCCATTATATTAACCCTTTGTTTCCTAAGAAATATCAGTCCAAGTTTATAACACTGATCTAGAAATTATTACTAGTGTAGAGTTCATTACTCACAGCATAAAAAATATTCAATAAATATATTGTAGTACAAACGTCCATTCAATATTTTTTCTTGTGCCTTCAGAATACCTTGAAGGCTCTGAGGATTCCCCTGTGAAAGAAATGCTGTTTGCACAACAAATGTTTGGCTCTTTCATTTATATTTCCAATAAAAGAGCGCTATACTCTACTTTTTAATTCATTAATTGGTTTTGAGTATAACATGCGATTAATAGTGATTAATTGCTCGAACTTATGCAATTAATTGCGATTAAAAAAAAAAATAATTTTGCCCAGCCCTAATAATTATGTTTCACAATTTCAAAAAATGCCTGTCAATGTAATCTGATTTGATTTATTTAAAAAGTCTGCTTTAGTCATGAAAAAACCTTGTTAATTTGTAATTTATTGTGGTAATAATTCTAATAATAACATTTGTTGCTACTTTTTACTGTATTTGCAGTTATGCTTGCACACAAATTGTTTACATTTGTTTGTCATCACCAGTACATGGCACAGACAAGTACATTTGAAATTAAAATGAACGTGGTAAACCTTTCAGCTCCTATTTATATATATATTAAAAAAATATGTATTTTGTTACATGAGTTAATGCTATTTACTTATTTTGATTTATGCATTTATTTTTGCCTATAAGTAAAGAATTAAAACAAATACCCATCTTATTTTCAGTTGACAAAACAATAAAACACCACAGTCAGGCCAAGTACCGTTCCGCCACCTGCTTGTCTCCACGGATATTCCATGGAGACACCAGGTGGCGAACCCTTGACTACAAATGTTGCACAGTACACCTTTAACCTGTAGCACCCATTTGTAACAAACAGGAATAAAATGTAGCAAGTATTCTAATTTGAATTTCTTTCCCATTAACCAAATCATTTTATACAAGAACCATCTCTCTGAACGTGTGAGCTAATACAGCTTTCTTGCTGCAGGTGCATTGTTAATGGTCCATTACAACCAGCTTAATTTCTCTATAAAGTCAGTGCTTTAGAGTTTGTTATATACAAACATACACACATACAGATAGTCTGGGGCATTTTTTTTTTTTTAACTAAAATGAGCTATTTAATTCCTATGCCGTTAGGGACTAGTAGAATAATCAATGGTTTGCTTCTTTTTTTCATCCTAATCATAAACCTTTTCTATGCTTTTTGTTTAATTTTTCCACCAGGCATTGGACAAAGAAAGCAGCCTCTTACAGTCCTTCTCACAAATCAGATTTTGTGCATAGTCTCTTATTGTGCTTCCTTTTCTATATTGGAACTATTCAGCCAACACACAGTTTTTATTTCCATCTTCAGATTTATTTTATTTTACACTGTGGACTACAGCATGGCCGGCTACGTGTGGCTGAATTTCTACTACTACATCCAGATTGTACCTGCCCAGTCTGCTCTGTTTCACTGGGTAAAAAGAAACATTAAGTCTACCATCTATGTGCTTTTGAGTATTGATGTCTTTGTAACAATAATAAGTAGAATAAACATATTTGTCTCATATGTAACAGAAATATCAGGTTTTCATTTAAATAAAACAGCAGGCACATCTGATATAAAACAGTCTGACCGATTTTCATTCTGTATGATCATGATGCATTATACTGCGATGTTATGTGTAACAATGATGAGCAGTTTGTCCACAGTGTGTTACCTTCACAAACACATGAAAAACATCAGAAAACTGGGCATTTCCATCTCTGCAACACGACTTCGAAGTCAGATGAGAGTCACCATCACTGGCATGTTCCAAGGAGTGCTCTTCTTTTTTTATGTCAGTTATTTACTGTGTAATGGTTTTACTGCCATGTTTTCAGATTTTTTTTTAGGTGCAAGAATAACACTTACCATCACTTCTTTCTTCATATCTGGAACCACTGTCACCCTTGGGATTGGCCAGAATGTGTTTAGACAAAAGATTGTAGATATGTACAAAGTGCTCAAGTGTGTGAGCATCTGTCAAAAGACTGAATAATGATTTGGTCATACAATGTGTATAAATGTGTATGTGAGAGTAACCTTTTCATGTAAAAAGTGTTGAATAATGTTTATTTTAAACAAATGGAATCAAAGACCTCTCAGATTCTTTGTATTCATAAAAAAGTGACCAAAAGATTTATGGCTGTTTATTTTCTCAATATTTCTCTTTTACTGATATTACACCATTCTGCAAGCCTATATTATATAAACCAGGGGTGTCAAACATACGGCCCTCCAAGATCTTTAATCTGGCCCTCAGCTGATTTTCTACTAAAATATTTTAACTATATTTTCTATTAAAATACTGGTAATTTTCTATGCCGCTTAGCATAGCAGTGTCTCCAGCGCCTCTGTGCGTGGCCTCTCCCATCAGAGCAGGCACAAATGAAGACTTGCCTGTTTTCCAAACCCTCCAAGACACCCTCATCATCAAAATGTCAAAAATGGGAAAAGTGGACGCCGAGTGCAGGATTTTCCAAGAAAAATTGACTTATTCCTATTTGCATACAAGTTATTGTTAAAATATTGTGTTGAAATTGCATTTTCCTTAAAGTTTCAGGTTGTTCATAATATGATAATATTTTGTAAAAGAAAGAGTTCATCAATTAAATAAGATTTCTGTAATAGATTTGCATTTCTCAGCACAAATATTTGAATTTATTGCTATTTTTGGGGTGTATATGCCATGAGTTTTCTGATCCGGCCCCTTTGGGATCAAAGTAGGTTGGATACGGCTCCCAGACCAAACTGAGTTTGACACCCCTTATATAAACTATGATAAGTATCCTAAATACTAGTATTTTATAACTCAAGTCTTAGGACTAGTTCTAGTGGGACTGGTTCATTTGTCTACCTCTCTCAGTCTAAGTCCCATATTATAACGAAAGCCATGTGTTCTGGTACTCCAGACCAGCTTGCTTTTAAGCATAGAGTTTGAGTCAGTCTTCAGGCAAGGCTCCTGGTCCAGGGGCAGGGGTCCTCTAATTGTACTATTGTATACTTTTTAATTATAAGGTGGATCTAACTGGCAAAAAGACCTTTAGTAATCCCAAGTTAATTGCCATCTTTTTCTGCATTTACACTACCTCTAAATGCCTCAGCATCACAATTTAACATCTGAGTTCTCTCTTGTTCAATCTTTGTGCTGTGTAGCTCTTTCTTAGCAGACCTGTAGCTAAAGAGGGCTAGACCTCTTTGAAAGCTAGTTCATTTTAGACAAACCATACTGCTCTATCTAGAACCAATGAAAACATGGCTAAAAACTTGAAAAGCAGGAACAAGGACCCACAAACATCATAGAACCAAACTAAATTCTGCCAATATACTGATTGGTACAATTTTGAATATTGGCTATTGGTCTAAAACAAAATGTTATAATAAATAAATTATCTTGTCTCATCTTGTTACTGACATTATTAAACATCATTCTTATTCACTTTTTTGCTTAATGTTTCCTGGGCATCATCAAGAGGGACTGTGGTCATGGGAGGATCCCGAAGTGCTCCCAGGCCAGCCGAGAGACATTTTTGATTATAACTCTCTTAACCTCAACTCATTTCTTACTGAATTTAGCTGTAATAGTGGTAAGCAGCCTGTCCACCCTGTGCTCACAGACAGTGAAGTCTGTTTCTGAGACTTCAGTTGCCATTTTAACAATCACCACTTTATTCATACAGGGTACCACTGTCACACTTGGGTTTGGCAGTCTGTGTTTAAGCAAAGGATAGTAAATATTTTTAACTGGTTAAAACACATCGGTGGATAATACTGCAAGCTCCAAACTTTCCCCATCAACAATCAGGTGATTAATAAGTTTGCAATAGCCTCCTCAGTATCTTTGTTTCTGGTCATTTTCATGTAGGCTTCAATTAACCAAATAATAAATCACTTTCGAAGAAGAGCAGATCTCTGATGTCTCAGTTGATAGTTGTGGTTTTCGTATACCTAGGGTGCACCTTCGTGCTGCTACAGTCCATTACCTGAGCACCATTTCAATAAATTCAAAGCTTGTACAATTTTAACTTCAAACTATGTGAGGCACAGACTCAGAGATATCGTACAAGAATAGTCCAGGGACTTTTATAAATAAAATGGAGAGTAATTTACTGGCCATGACAATTATCAGTGGTTTACTTAATCCTTTGAACATAATTGTAAATGTTTTTTATGTTTTTTGTTTGAGTTTTCCACCTCAGACTGGCCAGAAGAAACAGCCTTTGACCATGCTTCTTGGATTTCTTATTTTGTGCTTACTTTCATATTGTGTTTCCTTGACCATACAGGGATTACTTGAGTTAGCCAAAGAATACTCTATGATTGTGGTCATCTGTGAATTGATCACTGGTTTCACTGTGGACTGCAGCATGGTTGGCTACGTGTGGCTGAATTTCTACTACTACATCCAGATTGTGCCTGCTCAATCTGCTCTGTTTCACTGGGTAAAAAGAAACATTAAGTCTACCATCTATGTGCTTTTGGGTACTGACATCTTGATCACAATGTTAACTAGAATTTTTTATGTTGTGTTTATGTATTTAATAAATGAAATAGTGCATCATAGTTCTGATTCTTTTTTTAATATGACCATCTGGGGGGGTCTGGAAGAGTCATACGCATTTTCATTCTATATGACCCTGTTGCATTATGCTGTAATGTTATGTGTAACAGTGCTGAGCAGTTTCTCCACAGTGTGCTACCTTCACAAACACATGAAAAACTTGGGGAAAATGGGCACTTCCTTCTCTGCAACACGACTTCGGAGTCAGATGAGAGTTACCATCACTGGCATATTCCAAGGAGTTTTGTTCTTCCTCTTTGCCAGTTATGCACTATGTGAAGTTTTTGTTGCTGAGTACTCTGGGAAGTATATTGACAAATATATCTGGTTTAGCATCAGTACTTTCTTCATATCTGGGACCACTGTCACTCTTGGGATCGGCCAGAATGTGTTCAGACAAAGAATAATAGATATGTACAAAGCACTCAAGCATGTGAGCATCTGTCAAAAAACTGAATAATCACTTGCTGCTACACAATAACATTTTATGTTTTTGTAGTGAAGCATATTAATGCAAAATCTATAGCTGAATGTGATTTATGTATATTACTGTTATTATTAACCTATATACTTTTAGTTGGTGTAAATGTATAGAAACAATACAGCCTTAATGAGGATATTGATAGTTAATTCATTCCAATATCAGTTTTCTTGACATTGTATTGTCAATAATCAAGAAGTGTGAAAAAGCATTGATCATGTAGTCTTCATATACTTTACTCATGCCTGTTGCTGTCTTGGTTATTGCAAAAAGATTTACTGTGTATGTAAAAATCACATGGGTCTGGTGAATCCTTGTTTTTCCACTGTTTCTTCTCTATTTGTAAGTACACATTTTTGCTCCATACACTTTAAAATTTAATTTTGCTACTAACTTAATGTAACTTCAGCCATTTCTTGTAAACTGTACATTTTGTTGTGCCTATTAATCCTTTCTTGTGGTTTCTTTTTGTCTTGCATTACCACAAATCTAAATAAAAACATTTCAGTTGTTTATTTATCAAAACTACACAATACTCTCTCTCTACAAATGTGGAAATGTGTGGGGAAATGTACTCATAGGCTATAGCTTCTCATTAAACTGTGCCATTCTGTGGGCCGTTGACCATTCATAAGACATAATGTTTTGTTGATCTACTAAGGAAACTGTCCTTTTCACCATGCTGAGACCCATAGATAAATATTATCTGTAGCATGAATGAAAAAAGCAAACCTTTCGTTGTTCAGTAGGAACTTACTCCACAATAAGATGACCAGTGATGCATCAACTCTAAGCCAATAGCACAGAAAGAAACACATCTTATAGATTTGTACATCTGTAAAATAATAATAAAAAAAATATTGTGGTATGATTAAAAAATAAATAAAAATCTACCTATCTAGGTATAGATTATTTTCATACGAGAGCCATATACAGGCTAGGGTCTGTATGGACGTGTGGCAGAATTTCAGGCTACTACATGCAATCTGCTCTTTTTCAGTGGGTTAAACAAACATAGGCATATAGGCTATGGCTTTGTGGATTGAAGTTTTGCTAACTATGCTAAATTATGTAATAAACAGTAGCTATTATATTCCTCTTAATTTAACAGCCAAAGCTGAATTAATTGGGTTGTCAGTGAAATCATCATTCTACTCAGGGTGCATTATATAGTGATGTTTTTAATACTTCAGTACTTTCATAAACAGATTAGATGTTATTGTTATTGTAAAATAATAATAATAATAATAATAATAATAATAATAATATATATATATTATTATTATTATTAATATTATTAATAATAATAATAATAATAATTATAATAATAATAATAATAATAATAATAATAATAATAATAATAATAAAACAAAAAGAAAAGGTTATGTTATGTCATGTTAAAGGTTCTATGTTACACAAAATGAATTCTTGTGAGCTTTAGGCCATGTTGGAAAGTTGTTACCTCCTGAAAACATACATGGAGTAGTGTTTTGTTTGAGTTAGGGGTGTTAAATTATCGCGTTAATTGCGATGAATTAATTACAGTCATATTTAGCGCGTTATGTTTTTTAATCGCGTTCATCTCATTTTCAATCTCTAACTTTAGTGTTTCTGTATGCGAGTTGCTTTATTATAAAACCTGTTTTTATGTGTTGTTGGGACAACAACAACACAAACACACACACAAAAAACACATTTATACATTTTTTTATTTCGGTAATTCCACTCATTGCCGGAAACCCGCACAAAACGTGCGCAGTAACAGCGATGTAAACATCATGTTAACGTTGGCGGCGTCAGTCGCACAATGGACGAGGTCGAAGAGACAGTAGAACAGAGTCAGCAGTGCACAGGTAAAAACGCATTCGTGTCTTGGAAATTCTTCTCCCGACGTGAAATATAAAAGAAAATAACAAATATAATATCGCCTACAACTTAAATGTCACTGGTGAAAACAACCTGCATAGACTCATGATGTCTGCACTACTGTCCTATAGTGACCTGCCACATGAGGGGACACACACACAAACACAAACAAACACAAACAAACACACACCTTCATCATCGTCATTAACCTGAGAACGCGCGGACCACGTTTCCTTCCGTAGTTAATGCGCGGACACCGACGTGCTCCCGTGCGCCGCGTGTGGATCGTGTTTTCTCGCGTACGCTGCGTAAACCGCGCTTCCTCCTGTGCGCCTCTAAACCAGAACTAACACCAAGACTAAAACCAGGACTAATCCAGTCCAGGACTAAACCAGGTCTAAACCAGGACTAAACCAGAACTAAAACCAGAACTAAAACCAGGTCTAAACCAGGTCTAAACCAGGACTAAACCAGGACTAAACCAGAACTAACACCAGGACTAAACTAGGACTAAAGCAGGTCTAAACCAGGACTAAAACAAGGACTAAAACCAGTGATCTCATATATAAAGCATTTCTCTATTAATAATATTTTTAATATGGTTAAGGAAAGACTGGACTTTTTATTGTCTTTAAGTAGACAAAAGTTATTATGTTCAGATTTCCTCGTCTTTGCTACTTTACAGCAAACAGTTTCTTATTCATGGAGACTTGGGCTCAACAGCCAATTTGGAGAGATTTGTTAAACAATAAATGACTTTATAAAGTCACTTTTTTTAATCTATATCAGTCTTTTGATCTGCCACAATAATGTAATAATGAATTTAAATGAAAATACCTCAAATTGAAGGCTTTTCTCAGCAATTTTTAGGTGAGATTAAAATGAGATTAATTAGATTAATTAATTACAGATCATAATTAATTAATCTCTAAATTTTTTTAATCGTATGACAGCACTAGTTTGAGTACTCCTGATGATGCCATGTATTAGTAGTTTTCAAGTTATAACAGCTCTCTTTTACCTTTTAGTTCAGTAGAGAGAGAGAATTCCAGGGCTGAAGTTATCACAATAAGTCTAGTGAAGGTGTATGTGAGTTTAAAAACACAGTGGAGCACTTGCATTACCACATGACATCACAAGGTGGAGTGTTTTCTCTTTGAGAGAAGAACTCAGCCTAAATATGCAGGGCTTGTGCGTTTAACATGTGGATGAAACAAAAAGTCCAGTCCAGATATGTTTTTGATTAGTAAATAAAAAAAATAAAAATAAATAAAGCGAAACATGGAATTGATGATTATGAAATGTTTGTCCAAGGGAGCTTCTTTTGCACAGAGTTTGACTAGATAACTAAAAATAAAGACACAAATAGGCCTGGAGAAATGGCTGTAAACATAGTAGGTCGTAGCCCCGCCCACTGCCCTTCTCCTCGGGTCTGTTGTCGGCAGTTGGGGCGAGAGGGGGAAGAAGAACAGCGAGATGTCAAATCCTGCTCCTGTTTTCGGGAATATTTTATCCGTATTTAAGATCACAGCGACAAAGAAGTGACTAAATATCTCTTTTATGTTTTCCTGTGGTATCCCGCCGTGGATCTGGGGAATAAGCCATATCTAATCCATCGTTTTACCTCCTGAACAGGTAAGCGAGCAACGTTGACCTTTCTGTCCGTTATGTGGCCGTTACTGCACAGATTTAAGCGAGCGTAAACTTTCTTTTGTCAAATAAAAAAAATAAAATAAAAATATCCTTAAGTTAGATTTATTTGCAAACCTAGTTTAAATTAACTTTTTTTCTTTACCTAATTTTTAAAGTAGGTTAATGAATCACACAAATTAACTCTCCAATCTGATTACCAAACTGTTATCTGAAAATATCAACATGCTGTACCTGGAGTTGCCTCTCCACAGATCTGACCTGTAACTTGGCCTCGTGACATCTCCTGCTTATCTTACCAACAATTTTAAGCAAAGTAATAACACTGAAGGTCACATAGTCCATCATGTTTACATAATGGTTTAATTTTAAGTTACTAATACACTTTAAATATTTACATTATTTAAAGGGCCTATTTTACTATATTATTATTTTTGATATAATATTGATATAATATTGTTTCCTCATAAAAACTTACCTGGAGTTGTGTTTCATTGTTTCATTCACACATGCAAAACACTCTGTTCCACCTTGTGATGTCATGTGGCAATACAGGCAATATAAGTGCCCCACTGTGTTTTTAAACTAAACCTCTCTTCACTAGAATTTATTGGATAATTTCAGCCCTGGAATTGCTGATTTTTACTGAATGAAAGGTTAAAGGAGTTAACTTGAAAACTTTAATCACTTCATGACATCACAAGATGGAACAGAGCATTTTGAGCTATGGGAATGTAGACAGACTAATAAAGGATTGTTCAAACATGTGTGAATGAAACAAAACACAACTTCAGGTATGTTTTTTTGATGAGATAACACCATTCTAACATGGCTAAAAGTTCACAAGAGTTTGGTTTGTGTAATATTGGGCTTTAAATATTAGTAAAAAGTAACCTTTTTGTTTTATTCTCCACAGATTAACCAAGACAAACCAAAGCCTATCTTCTGGTTTATACAGCCTGCTTTTCATTTTGTTTGTGAAACCCATGACTCCAGCCCTGACCAAGTCTGTCAAAGATGGTCATGGCATCCACTTGTTGTCACTTCCGTCTTCAAACAATCTCTCGGTTTACACAATGGACTTGGACTCACAGCTCTGCCCCGCAGAAGACCTTCAGAAGATGCAGTTCTCAATTTTACCTTCTCTGGACTCCTACTTGCAGCCTAACCCTATGGATTCTTCCTCCAACACTGGGGTTGCTACAGATCAATCAGAGTCCGTAACACTTCCTAGTCCAGACTGCGTGTGTCTGTCTTATAACAAAAGTACAGAGTCTCAACAGGTTTCCTCTATACTACCCAGTGTTTCGGACATGTTTGTTCATCCACAGCACAATTTCCAAGAGGGTTGTTTAAATCATAATCCAAAATTTCATCAGTGTAGGCCAGGTGCTCCTTCACATAACTTTTCCAATGTCTCTTCTCCTTTTGCTATAGGAGATTCTATTTTGACACCGACCATCACATCAAATCAAGAAAACTGCAAGTTTGATCAGATGATTCCTAGGTTAGAACTGCAAAACTCTATAAAGGAGAGGGCCTCTAGACAAACAAATCTACAAAGTCGTGCTCAGAAGTTGCAAAGGAGGCTTCAAGTTCTTCTAGGGCAATACGCCTCGCTTCACTGTAATCAGCAGTTGGAGGGGCTGTGGACACAGGGAGGAACAATGGGTGGGTTTTCTGCTGGGGATGAATTTTCACAGGTGGAGAACATACAGCACTTAACTTGGTTGGAAACCTCGCCTGACTTCACAGAGATTACTGAGTTTGCTCAGTTCGGTCATACTGTGCTGAAGAGTCTGCAGGAAGCCCTGGACTCAGAGGACACAGCCAGCTCCAGCTCAGATGACGAACTGCTAAAGACTGAGACATTCAGTGAACATGGACAGAGTGTGTGAGTATAATTGCTTTTACAGAAACTGTTTCAGTACCAACTGTTGTTATGTAAATGGTTTGCATTCTCATGCACTACTAATCACCGCCTGGTTTACAAACATTTCAGCAAGTAACGGCCCTGTAGCTGTAGCTAACCATAAGTCAGTCTGGTTAGAGCTTACACCACATGAAATGCAAATGTATATATTTTTTAGATTTGTTATGGTAATTGATAAAAAATGTGTTAAATGTATTATTTTGAAATGAATATATCAGTTTCTAATACTGTCACCCTAAATTTTGTGGTTTAGTTGATTTATTGTATTTAAAAGACTAATACTACTAAAGCAGATCACTAGAGCAGAGATCTACCTTTTTGAGTATAAACATCTATTAAACAGAGTATGTGATCTAAGTCAAATATATACAATACCTTTCTATGTAACTTGCATAAACTGCATACTTTACAGTACAGTGTGGTACCATTAAGCCCAGGTTTTGTCCCTCTGGCTGAAGTTAATGACATTTCAGCAATGCACTCATACACTGTTAATTTCTATTTCCAGCCTGCAGTCATAACACAGTCAAACACTCCCTTTAGCCACAGGCGAGGAAATATACACCCAGAACTGCCTAAGCCTGTGGAGCCCCACTGCTCTTGCCCTCCTCCCGTCTGACGTCAACAAATACTTTCTAAGTGTGTAGTTTCTGTGTGTGTAGTTAGGTTCTTTTGGAGGGAAATATGTAGTTTGTGCAAGTCCTTGAAAAGACTGTAAGGTGTACAGGAGGGCGAGACTGGGAATTGGATATGTTGTTATTTTTTGGTTTTACAATCACTTAGTTTTGGAACTTTGCACTTAATCAAAGTGGTGGAAAGGTTTCATATTTTATAATTATACTTCTACTAATAATTGCATTATTTTGTTCAAAACTAGCAGCGTCAACTTGACAACAAAGTCAACTTGACATTTCTACCAGGACACACAGAGGAAGACTGCAGTAAACAGGACAATAGACTAAAGGACAGGATGTTTATTATCTCTTAAAACTCCACTAAAATGTGTTTGTGCATGCTGTGCTGTAGTTTCAGTCTGGTCCTTCAGCTCATCTTTTGTCTGTCCTCTCATATTTACTCTCTCTCTCTCTCTCTCTCTATGGTCCACTTATGGCTCAGTTTCTTGCTCAAGATGTTATTTCCTGGTCATGTTAACCTTATACTTATAATAGCAGTCATTTAGCTCTACAATAGGGCCACATTCACTTTTCACTATTAACTTTGGAATGCATAATATGGGAAGGTTGAATTTTAACTGATGTACGCCCCAAATCCCAGAGCCTTTGCCTTGAAGCAGTAGCTGTGCCTTTGAAATGAATTGCTGGATCTGACTTGCTGAGGCTGGAATGTTAATTTAACCCAACTTAAATTCTGCCATTACAAATCTTTGTAATTGTGGAATGTAACTGTGTGATCATGTAGTTAAGGAGTGTCGATTCTTGTAATGTTAAGAGCCTAGGGTATGATTTTAGACTTCCTTTTAAAACATACCATAGGTTCGGAGGACATGTACACTTTTTAATTTGTCAGTTTTTTTTATACTTTCAGATGTCAGCATCCCTCCTCCATATACATTTTATTGTCTACCGTTACTGTGTAGCTGCTTGGTGACTGATTGGCCTAACCTTTCAATGTCTGTAGTGATCGTTTGAAGTGGGGAAGCCCTCCCTGTCCTAGCCAAGGTCCAAGTGCTCTGCCATAGCAACACTAGCAGAGTCAGTCAACCGCTAGTAGAACGAGCACACACTGGAGCACTGGGTTCAGAGAATCCCTAACACCCCAGAAACACTTAACATTTTACTACAATGAGTCTAAATTTGACTTCTACATATTTTTACTTTTGGTTGTCTTCTGTCACTGTATTAATTTGCATGGATGACCAAGTTTTTTTTGCCTACTTTAAACCAGCTTGCATTTCTGAGGTCCTAACTGGCTAATGCTTAAGGGTACTGGCCAGTACACTCCCAAGCCGAAATCTGAGGAACATCTGGTGTAAAATAATTGCAAATGATCAACAGACCAGTTCTGTACAACATATTTTAAAATTGCAATGTGAGTTGACATTTATCAAATCACAAGGCCGCAATTATTTGAATAATAAATTTTCCCTGCAAAGAGCTTTTTTAAACTTGAAAACTCTTACTGTAACTGCAGTAGACCACTATAAACATATTCTGAAATGTATGGGATTCTTGTATTAGTTTATTGAGAGAGAGAGATACTTTATTGATCCTGAGGGAAATTCAAGTTTATCAGTTTATATTTCAGTCCCTCCTCAAATATTAATGCATCTGGGGTTGTTTACAAGGTGCTCTCTGAACAGAATCCTACATTTTAAATCGCAAATCTAATCAATTGACGACCAAAAAACTTCATCCCTACAACAGACGGCTACAATGGGAAAAGACTACAATACATGAAATTCATCAGTTCTTTTAAATACACACAGTCAGCTAAAGTTATGTTTTCCTAGGGCCTCCCCATACTTTGAAAAGAGATGGCTCAAAGAGAGAGCAGAGCTGGGCAGCAGATGTACGTGGTTAGAGCTGCGTGTTGCGGAGCTGGATGGGCGGATACAGCAACTTACTGAACTTCATAAGAACATCTACACTGCCAAGGTAAAAATATACACCAGGTTAGCCATTAATATCTTACAGTAACATCCATATTAACAAACATTTTATGTATATACAGGGGAGTGTGGTGCTTGCTTCCCAGCCAATGACAAACTGCCAGATGAAGAATACACTATTGAGAGAAATGGTGGGGTTCTCTGAAGATGACAATGACCCATGTAGTCCAGCTCACCTCCTCCACAACATAGAGCGACAGGTAATGGAGAATGCACCTCGCCATGGGTTCATATTCACTTTAAATTTCCAGAGACCAGATTGGAGTTTTGACGTCATAGTAATGTTAAAGACAAATAAATAGCATGCTATAAGTACACCAGTCTTATGTCCTGGTTTGTGTATGATAAAACCCTTTATAATTAGCTGCAGACAGTGCACAGTGGTCCCATTTCGACTCTAGAAACTCCCTTTACAATAAATCTGCACTGAAGCAAAACTCGTTGTACTTTATTACATGATTAAATCAGGTATACCCTCTTTAAGCTGAGTTGCCCCTAGTGAATTACTTGGTGTCCATTCTTTTTTATTGCAGAGTGCACAGCTCAGCCTTTTCGTCAATAGTCTCATGCCACCTCTGAACCTGTCTCCACTTTCAAAGCCTTTGCAGCCCTGGGAAGATGAGAGAACCCTTGACAGGTACACAATACAGAACTAACAGATAAAGGCAATTCACATACTTCTAATATTATTCAAATCTTACCTAAACCTCACACATTACAGAAAGTACATCTTATTGCCAAGCTAATAGTATCACATGAAACATTAAACATGCTTGAAATGTATTTATGTCTGATGTTGTTTCATCCTTTTTACTGTGAAGATCAAAACCCATCTTCTAGTCTAAAATATTCAGGAGTGCACAAAATGTTACAAATGTATCTCTGATCACAAAGTAAATGAAATTAATCTGCTCTTTTCTCCGCAGTGATGTATTTGTTTCTGGAAGTTCAAAGAGGAAGATGTTTGGTGTAACGAGGAGACAACTGTTCAAAGATCACATGTCCTGTGTCTGTGCTCGCACCCGCCCTCTGGTCACTTATCACAAGCCTAGACTATTTAGGCTCAGCTCTGTGTGCAATAACAACAGCTCCAAGGTAAGCTTTATGCAGCTTTATTCAAATACTGTTATGATTTTTATCTATTGATAATACATCATACAATACAATACAATATATACATATATATATATATATATATATATATATATATATATATATATATATATATATATATATATATATACTGTTGTTAAAATGTATTATAAAAACAACAATATGTCGCACAGTATCATGCACAATATATGAATTATTGCATGCCATATCTTGATATTATTGTATTGTGAGCCATGTATTGTGCATTGTACCAGATCATGAGGGACTTGTGATTCCCAGCCATAGATTCATGGTTTCATATTACTACATGTCACAAAAATCCATGGCATCAAAAATCAAAAATCCTTAAGTCTTCATAAGATAGATCACAGATGACTGCAATAAATGCCAAATTAATTAGTGACTGAAGAAAATACTACTGTACAGAGTAATACTCCTATTTTTTGTACATTTCAAAGAACATTTTTGCTTTGTCCTTCAGTGTTCCTCCTCTCTGTCTGGTCTCACATCTTGTTCCTGCTCCCACTGCTCTTCCTCCTGTGATCCGGTGCTGCTGTCTTCTGATATGGACAATAATTCCAATGACACGCTGTCGTCCAGGGCATGTACTTCTAATAGTGGAGGTATGGGACCCCTTTTAGTTTGTAGAGGAATCATAATATCTTCAAGTGGTTCTGTGATTTTTCTAGGACCTTATTATATTACATTCAGCAGTGAGCGAATATCTTTTCTTTTCCTTACCTTGTGCCGTCTTTTCTCAGACTCCTCTGTGTTCACAAAGGCGCCTGCAAGAGAAGAATGGTCTCAAATACCTCTAGTTATAAATGCTCTTCCGTTGAGTCCAGTACATTATAGAAGACACAGCTCAATGCCATTGTACGAAAGTAAGACTAAACAATATTGTAGTACTCACTGATCTATGTTTCATTCAAGAAATACAGTATATACTTTATGCTGTAGACTTTTGTTTTACAGAGTATTTGTCATTACAGATAAGAAATATAAACAACATACACAACACTATAAAAAGAGAGTGTTGGGACTGTCACCCATCAGACAACATGGTTCTTTAAAAATAAAACACAATAGAGTCCAGCAGAGGAAAAGGAAAAGACAACGCAGGCACAGTGTCACTGAAGGTTTCATACTGATCCACAACTCTTTATGTTGACGTCTGATAATTTGGACTCCAGAATATTATGAGTAAACACAAAATTATTTATTCTAGATGTTGACTCATGTTTGGAGGACAGCTTAGATGAGATATTTGGGGAAAATTATGTTTTGGATTCACTAAAGCAGAGCTCAAGGGTAAGATAAAATTTACTCAAACACATAACAACCTACTGTCTATCTAAACTTAGTTTTTTTTCCCCAGGGAGCTGTGCACAGACGTTATGGAGAAAGTGTGTTTAATATCAACAACATTGTTATTCCAGCTTGCTTACCCAAAGTGGAAAAGCTTCAGTACAAAGATATTCTTACTCCAAGGTTAGTACTAAACTAGGACCCATTTCAAGTTTGTTCTGTTGGGGTGCACTGCCGCTATAACCTATGTATTTCCACAGTTGGCAGGTGGTTGACATTAAGACTTTAATGAAAAATGAAGACTATGAGAAAGACAAAGATGAACAGGTATGTTTTCATTGAATTTTCTTCTTCTTCTTTTTTTAATACTCTAGTAAATATTTTTTAAACTAATAATATTTACTCCAATGTGTGTGCAGATGGAGACACTCACTGATGAAGTCTTTGCTCAGAGACATTTGCCTTTTGAACAAAAAGAGAAACTACGTCGGTGTTTTTGGGGAAAGAGACGCTGCAGGCATTCCTCAAGGTGAGCATATTCCTGTTTGGGCATGTCTGTAACACGGTAGTAATACTAGACAATGCAGCATTAGTGTTTTAGATGGAGTCACCCACTATGTTTTAACTCAAACCTAAACCAGAGACATGCTTGTTTTCTTGGCCCAGATCTGGCAGCAGGCTGTCCAGCTGTGGTGCTGTTTTGGAGGAAAACTCTGCGCTGTGGAGCTTTACTCAGCTGGATACTGACGAACAGCTGAGCACAAAGGAATGTCTGGTGAGATTAAACAAACAAGCCTGTTTACCACTAACAAGCAAAACAATATAATAATAATAATAATAATAATAATAATAATAAAGTTTAGCTGTATTTTGTTAAGAATCTGTGCATGTGATATTGTGAGTCTTCCCTTTTACACTGTGGAATCTTGATGAGTCCTTGAGAGCTCACACAGTGCTCTGCTACTATCTGCTCTTGATGACAGAGCCTGATTGTAGTGCTTAGTCCCACTTTACTGGATTGGGAAAGAAATGAGCTGTTGCCGACAGTGCTCTAATCAACACTGCACAGCAGCTCCCACACACACTGTGATGAGCATTGTCCTTGATTTAATATCATCTTACTTGATTGGCAAGTGCCTTGACATTCCATTTAGTCAACGGTGCAAAATCAGGCAAATGTATGAAGTACATTTTTAGCCTTGTGAATACAAGGTGAATACACTCAAAATCATTTTTTCATGTGGCAGCCTCAAGCACCCTGGGAGCGCCGAGTGTTTCCCCTGACTGAAGCCGATGAACAGACCCTTTCATCTGAAGTCCGACAGTGGTGCAGCACTTGTACCCTCTCCTCACTGACAAGCCTCAACTCTGATCTTATTGTGTCTCAATCAACAGATACAATATCTCCCTCTTATGGACACTACATGAACTGCACAAACAATGAGCACTATAGTGCCTTTGAAAATATTTTTTTATCCCTCAAAGTTTAAATTGTTATTTAACAATTTAGATCTCAGGACTACATTTTAATAGTTTCACTAATAGTTTTCCTTTAGGAATTTATAACCAGCATTTTTTTCCCCCTTAGTACAAAGGCTCAAACTTCTAGTAAATAACAAAACAGAGACTCAGAAGTTTTAGAACTGCAATGTGTGTGTTGCCCTACTGTAATGGTTCCATTTTACTTAACAACCTTTTGCTTTTAGTGTTTGTGTGAATATTTATCCATTTTAGTTGTCGTATTCTGTTTGTCCTATAGCTTTGTATGATGATTGTGATTGCTTGTCTGTAAATGTAAATCACTTTATTGCTGTTATCCAAGTTAACAACAATAATGGGATTCTGAGATCATCAACAATAGACCAAGAAATAGTGTTGAAAGGAACTGAAACACAGTACTTTTGCAGCCATCTTGCACTTTAATGTTTACAGTACAATACTGTACAATATTTGAAATATTTAGTAGACTACTGTCTGTATTGACCAGCACAGTGTCACTCTCGGGTATGTAATATATTGTATCTGTGAAATTTATTTGATGCTTGTCCTCAAAATGTGTGAAACCTTTTTAAACAGTTAACTAATCTTATTTACTGGGAAAAAGCACTGTTGTGATTATCGTCTCTGAGACAAAAAACACCAAATATAATAAACTGGAAAACAAAACCATGACTAAGTATAAAATACCATGTGTTACAACATGAAATAAAACACCTCTAATGACCATTGATCTGAACATTTATAGGGGGTCACTCCTGAGGCCAGCGTCAATGACTGCTCATTCTTCGATCACTTTAGAGGTGTAGGCAGCAGATAGGACAGATGGAGGTTAAGGTGGTCTTCAGTCAGTTACTTCTAGATAGACAGGAGGTGGAATAGAGCGTTGTACATTTTATTTTGACTACAGATGATTGTATACTGAAATTCATAGTTCATACAGTAATTATGCAAAAGGACATTTGGTGATAACCATCACCGTCTTGGTTCACCTCTGTACAGTACCTGGCAATAGCCACACGGGGGCCACATCAGTCTACAGGCCAGTGAGTGCGTCCCACTCATGGAACCAGAAGGTTAGATGTTTAACGATAGTGCCTTAATTATTTGTATCTCAAGAAGTGTGTATGTGTTATGTGTGACTCTAAATCATATTTTCAATGTTTTTTTTAGTGTATGTTGGTTTAAATAACACCATTTATTGGTGTAGCCTACTCACATACTTACACACATATTAAAATTATCTGAATACTAAAATAATTCAGCTCAAATTGTATTAAAAACGATTAGGCCTGTGTGAAATAATGTATGTTATAAAGCTGTTTTGGTTGACACTGTAAAGTAGGCAGTGCGAATGTAATTTCGAGAAAACACGTGTGTATTACCGTAATCTTAGACCATGATGCGCCAACTTTGTATGTTGCCTCTTTAGTGAAGTCATTACGGTAAACGCAAGCTGCGGAACCTGTGTCTACGGAGCAGGAGTTGGGAGAAGACACTGCGCTGAACAGGTAAATTTCCACTCATTTGTCTTTATAACATTTTGCTAATAATATATGCTATTGATTGATAAATATAGTACGAACATTTGTGCGGTAAACTAAAACCAATCAAAAAAATCTCCGTATGCATTGGAGCTTTATTGATGGGGTGCCCCTCTGTGGATGTGACAGGGCTGTTTCATTTCAGAGCGGGGTAGCGGCGGCGTGTGGCGGAATTATCCCTGGAAAAAAGCATCTTATCCGAACAAAAGAAGCTCAATGTCCAGTCTGTAGGTAAGGCAAGCTGGGTTGAACGACTATGAATTATTGACCACCGCTGTTAATGCATATTTTTATGTTGGGTAACGACTGCATTGTGCTACCAGAGGGCTTTACCTATTGCGGTCACTGCGGGAACTTGGCTCGCTGCGGTGGTAATGTAAAGACTAGCCGGTGATAAACAAATATCCATTCAAAAATGTAATATCAACGGGGAAAAAAAATCAAGGCAAATATGTTTTATTACCTCTAATAGTTGTGCAGTCTATGCAAGATAGAGGAAAGACCGGGAAACAGGTGCTGAGTCATATTTACTTGTGCCTTTTCAATGAGGACCCCTAAAACAAATGGTTATATTGATCACATTGCAACAAATTGTCTCGTTATTAATGCAGAGAAATATTTTTTTTTTTTGTTGTAAAAGAAGCTTAGTAGCCTTATTGTCGTTTACATTTTCCTTGATCACTCACTGATCCATCAATAACCAAAATGAGCAAGCAAAGGATGATTGATTGTTAAAACACGTTGCTATCGTTTCGCCCAACAGCTTTTAAATTAGAGTTTGGATTGTTGTGTTATTTTCTCCACTGCATTCACTAGTCAAATATAATTTAAAACCTCTGTATATTCGAGATGAACAGGGGAGCAGTGAATCATGAATGGTCTGGCTCCTCCTTGTTGTTGGGGGTGGGCATATTTTTCCCAAAGGATAGGGAACTGCTGGTGGTTCTGTATCGGCTGATTGTCATTCCAGTCTTATTCAGTCTGCTATTTGCTTTGGATCATTAACTGTACTATGCCACTGTCTAGTTTCTTTGCATGGTCAACATCTCATGGCAGCATGCACTGGAGACTCTGTAAAAACAATGGAAGTGCGTCACCTGCTTTCATGTTTGTGGTTGTATATATTATTTACATTGTGCTATATAGTATTAGTCCCATTGTACAGCTGTATTACAATTACAGATTGCAATGTGTGAAAAAGGTAGCGTAGACTAGACTATAGACTAATTTAAAGATGCACTATGTAACTCTTTAGTGGCGGGTCTGCCACCTGCTTGACTACCCTGTCATGATATTTACTATATTGACTTATCATTCAATTTATGAAAGCTGGAACAATATATTTTGGGGCTCAATATTTATTGTGGGTACTTTTTCTTTGCAATAGTGGGTAGATTTTTGCCATTTTCCTGTAATAACGTGAGATTTGAGCTGTAGAGGGTAGAATAAATAACTTGGCTACTAACAGACTATTATCAGTTCATATACCGCCTATTTAAAAATGTGTTTACTGGCATTATCTTGATCCTATCACTTTGTGTATTTTGAATATTATCATTTATCAAAGTATTTCTGTATAACAACATATTGTGCTACAAAATTTGCTATTGTGACAGACCTACACTTGACACATCAATCCCCATTAAAACAAGCAGGTGAGGTGATGTCACTTGGTCAAGTTACAGGGCAGATCTGTGGGAAGGTGACCCCGCTCATTGTAGGAATGCACGTTTATCCAAGTATCTTTTTAGCTGTTAAATCATCTGTAATTGACTGAAACAAGCCTAAAAAGTTTAATGCAAACATCTAGAACCTAGAAAGTTACATAGTGCGCTTAAGTGATAGTATAAATATCTTAATATAAATAATTTTATTCTGACTTTCCTTTTAAGCAGTAGTATATGGTGATTTATCTGTTTTCAGCTAAGTGAATGCTAATCAAGTAGTTATCAACTATTGAGATGTCAGCTGAAAGTGCACATGTCAAGGTGATACATGGAGCATGAACACCTGAGCTGGTTAATCACTGCTTGTTTCATGTGCGGTCAATACACGGGCTGTTGGTCTGATGGATAAGAGAGGGCCAGATGATGTTCCCAGATTTATTGTATAGGAGAAGCAAGCTAGTGTGAGCTGACAAACTATTATGACACCAGGTTTAAGTCATGGATACTGTGTGGTTTTCCCTGATGGATAGAGATAGTTGTACTTTTGAATACAGTTGAGCAATAGACTATATAAAGAAGTGGACTAGACATTAGCTCCAGTCATATGAAGCTCAGAAGGCTAGCGGTTCTAGGAGTGAATTTGGAAGTGAGTTCCATATTAGGAACAGGAATTGATTTATGGACAAAATAGAGACTTTATAGAGATTTATAACTTTACTTTATTGATTCCAGAGGGAAATTCAAGTTTTTGCTGCAGCATATATACAATTTGAGTTGAACATTCAATCAGTTAGTCATATGCATTTGAATCAGATTAATTGTTTTTCTTTTTAAATAAAAATACATTATTTCAGAAGAAACAGTTTTTGACAAGAACGGCAAGAATGGGTTATCTGTTACATAAAGGTGAGTTGTTGTATGCAGTCTGGTATGAATGTAGTCCTGTATCTCTCACTGTTATCGTGGCAGGCCTAGTTGTAACCAGCCTGACACTGACAAACATAAGTCAGTTTTCGTATTCAAAGCATTCATCTTGTGTGTTTGTCTGTGCTGGTGCATTAGTGAAGAGAACTAGGATAGAAGTGAATCTATGAGGCTTTGGCTGCTCTCGGCACTTAACCAATTACCATGGCTGCCAGGTAACTGCCAATCTGTTGCCTGCATTCATTTGTTTTGTTCTGAGTGAGTGCTCTTTTTTGGCAAAGAAATAATAATTCAATTCAGAATCAAAAAGGTCTGTATGAAAAAAAAGAAAATACAAAAATCACGATTCACTGTTAAGACCATCTAATTTGTGATTGCCTGGTTTAATTCTCATGTACTGTTGCTGTTTTTGTGTTGATGCAAATTTTTTTCTATTTTACATACAACACTTAAAACATATTGGGTTACAAATAAGCTCAACAAGATTTTAAAAGAAATCTTAAAGATTAAAGATTGCTTTGTCTTTAATTTAGATAATAACCAATTATGAGTCAGCTGAGTAGGTATCACGCAAAAAATCTCAACAATTTAATATAGTTTCACTTCTTGGTGAGGTACCAAAAATATACATCATACTTGTGTTATAACAATCCTTACCATTCGTTTGTATAAATAATCAACTTTATCATAGCTACAAGAACTTGTTATTATAAATTTCAATGTTTAGGATCCATCTAAACTCTAAAATAAACATCTGTTTGTGGCACAAGCTTCACAAAGTCTATTTTTCCCCTGTGCGTCACCAGTGGAAAAATAATGCTAACCCAGAAATAAGTAAAAGAAACACACTGTGCAACTTATACCGAAATAAATCAAATTCCCCATACTATTTTGAACCACTTTGAACAGGCTGTAACTTTTCTGCACTACACTGCTATTATTATGCTATTGATTGTTTCGAGGTATTTAGTGAGCGTAGACAGTTCAGTAAGCTTAGATGTGGGATAGCCTCCTCTATCTCTACTTGATACTGACCTCAGTGTTTTCAAGGGTAAGGAAGAATGTGGCCCATAAGGAATGCATGTGTCAGTGCTAAAGGTCCACTGTGCCGTACATTAGCCTGCTTATACTTGGTTTATAGTTAAGGGCAGCGGGCCAAGGATGCTGCATAGTACAGGCAGTGAGACAGGAAATTAATGTCATCTCAAAGTTCATGCTCAGGTTTATGCTTTTTATAGTTGTTTTTGCTTAAGTATCTATATGTGTAACCCCGGCCTCTTGATGGGAGGAAGAATTTAATAAATATTTCCACATGTTTTTTAGAATATGACCAGTTTTGTCATATCTAAAGCCTCAATTATGCAAAATGATCATTTATTGTAGCAGATTTTCTGGTTTAGTGGTTTCTTTATTGATTTTCTTTTTGATAGTAGTAGTTGTAGATAGTTTAAATAATAAATAGCAGTTACAAAACACACTGGATCATTCTGAGCATATATTGTGTGTGTTTATATGAAATACATTATATTTTCGGTCTTTGCCCTAGTATCGGTTG